AGCCAGGGAGTCACCTAATGCGCCTGCCCACAGGAAGGGCTAGTGAGGGGTCGTGAAGGGAGGGGTGTCCTGCCCCACCCCCGAATCCAGAGATGGACTTGAACTTGAGAACTCTGCCCCTCCCTCAGCAGGAGGTAGGAGGATACATCAGGAGGGACTTCCAGAAAAATAATAGCAAGAGGTAGGGTTAGGAAGGCTGGATGGGAAGCTGTGAAGACATTGAGATGAGTCAAGAGTTCCTACCTCCCCCCCACACACAGACACACACAGACACACACACACACACACACACACACACACACACACACATACACACACTGGCCCAGCTGTGAACCTGATCCCTCGCTGGGGACCTGCTCCTGATTAATACCAACATTAGCCCTGAATACTCACTACCCGGCCTCCCATCATTAATTACCTCCTCTCCCACCCCAGTAGAGGGGAAGTCAGTTCCTCCAGGGGCAGAGAAGTGAGCTTTTGACCCCTGAGCACAGGAGCACCAGGCCCTCCCCATTCCAAGGAAAAGGGAGAAAAAGAAGAAGAAAAGGGAAGGAAAGTGCTTTCTGTACACACCATCCCCACACCTGGCCCCTGCTCCCTCTGCATCTCCCTCACCCAGTGCATCCAGGATCTGACAGACCCCCACAGGGGCGTTCCTGTAGGTGGTGGCCCTGAGCCCTGAGCACTTCCTGCCCATATTCCTTCCATCTCAGGATTGGGGCAGGAATGTGCATAGCACCAGGCAAAGAAACAAGACTGCACTCTCCTGGGGCTTCCCATGCAGACAGGAAGCCAGCATCAGGTCACAGAGTTACTCCTACTCCACATGGGAACATCCTGCCAACAGCTGCCTGGGGTGAGGGCAAATGAGGTTCACAGAGCAGAACAGGTATCCCCTCACCCTTGAATCTCTCTAGTAGCTCCAATGCCCTCAAGTTCTCTCTCACACACCCATCACTGAAAGCAAGGTGCAAGAAAGGAACCAGAGCTAGGCCCATCCTCTCTGTCTGGTGCCTGGGCACCAAGACTCAAGCCACCCTCGCTCCAGCTCTCCCATCCCCCCACTTCCCTAGGGCCCTCACTTCCAAACTGTCTCTAATGTCATCCTTCTACCCGACTCTGCATAGCTTGCATTCCAGGAAAGGAGGTGGGGGTTCTGTGGGATCTTCCTGCACCCTCCCAACACCCCCATGTACCCCATTATAAGACCAAGTGAGCCTGGAGACCCAGCAATCAATATCCCTCAAAGATGAAAACACTAATAACTTTATCCCCTCTTGTCCTCCACCTCTCTCGCCTGCATCAGCCCTGACCACACCCCGCCCCAGGCAGCTGAGACCTGCAAGTGGGCAGGCCTGGAGCTGAGTAACCCCTTCAGATCCAGGTGAGAGACATCAGGGTAGACTGGCACTTGGAAAGGGAAGCCACAGGGAAAGGTATAGAAAGTCTTAGAAGTAGGCACTTTCCATCCCCATATCAATACCATCAGAGACCTAACCTGGTCAGGAAGGGTTCATGACCCAGAAATACCTGTTACAAGGTACGAAGGTCCATATCCCATCCCCTAGGCTACCCAGAGAGATGAGTCAAGAAAGACATTCTCACTAGGCAGGCCAGGGAGGCTGAGGACTGAGCTAAGGAGACGGTGGGCAGGTGACCTAACAGCTTCATATAGAAGGGAAAGTTGGGGTCAGGAGGAAAATGTTTCTCTTCTCAGAAACTGTAGCACCCATTTCATCTTGAATACCAGCCCAGGGCCTCCACTAGAGTACCCAAGGCCTGAGACAGGCTTCAGAGAAGGAAGAGGGAAGGAAGTGGAGGGGGAAAGACAGTGAAGTGATGTCTCTGCTGGGCACTGGCTGGAGGCATCCCTGCCAAGGGAGTTTTACACAGGACTCAGACAAGCCTTCCGGCATCCCTATGAAGACCCTACTGTTATTATCCCATTTGCAGAGGATACCAAGGCACAGAAATACTGAGTGACAGAGCTGGTAAGTGGGAACCAAGCTTCATATTCTAGAGGTTTACCCACCAGGACACATAACTCAGTAAAGGGATGCCTGCAGGGGGCAAGGCTTAGTGGGAGGTGGGTGACAGAACCTCTCATTCCAAGTTTTGGACTGGAGGCAAAGAAAAGCAGATTGCTGTTGGGGCAATATTTCTTACTCAGTCTTCTTTGTTGTGACTGAGGCATGTGGGTCCTGGGGCTCCATCCCTTCTAGCCTCTACTAAACTGCTCCTTCAGCTAGCCTTCTGACAAACATGTCTCTTCCAGCTGAAACCCTCCCCCCACTACTGCCCAAACTCCCTTTTTGTCATACCTAGGAAGGGACAGAGAGACAGTTTGGGAAGGTTCAGAGCATGCAGCCAGTTCATACCCTGCTGGGGGTGCCTGTATAGCCTCACACATCAGTAGGGCAGGAAGCTGGAAGCTGGAGCTCCTAGTGTCTAGCTTCCTCAGGGACTATACTCCTGCCCCCACTAGATAGCCAGTCCAAGGTCATGTAAGTCTATGGCTACGATTTGTTCTAGCACCTATCTTCAGCTTGGGGGACACAGCTAGGGTGAGCTACCCTCCCCAGGCAGCCCTAGCACCCTTTCTGCCCAGCAAGCTGTCAAATATCCCAGCTTGTTGAGAAGCCAGCTATGAGAAGCAGGAGAACCCCAGGTTCTTCCAGGCTGGGGCCCTAAGGGGCCACACTGCACTATGAGCACTGCTTCCTCCTCACCAGAGCAGGAGAAATTGGCACTGGGGAGAGGGCACCTGGCTCCTCTGGGCAGCAGAGTGCTCCACAGAGCCCCAGCCTTTCTAAGCCTCTCTTCCAGCAACTATAGCCTTCTCAGAGAAAGGAGACTAGGAGGAGAGGGCCCAGATAGCTCATCTCATTGCCCCAGGTTGCTGTCCTGGTCTCAGGCCCCCAAGAGTCCTCAGGGCCCCATTCCGTCCATCCCCCTGCAGCCATCCATCTCAACTGGTGCTCGGCCCCTGGGACAAGTGGAGGGCAGCTAATGGACTTGGCACAGCCAGGAGGTAATTAACAAGGAGGGGGCAGGGGCTACAGTGGGATGGGAGCATCATTAATGATAATGGGACCTAGCAGCTATGGGAAAGGGTGCTGTTTGTGTCATGCACACACGTGTCCGGGCTGGCTATGAGGCAGGCGAGGCTACCTATGCATACATGTCTGCATGTCCATCTATAAGGGTGAGGCCACTAACTGAGAGCAGGGTGCAGCCCTTGCCCCAGAGCAAAGACTTGGGCCATGGTGCCTGAAGGACTGTCATGCATCTTTGCAGTTCCCAGATCTGCCATTCTCTCCTAGAATTTTCCTTTTGCCCAAGCCACATTCCCAGAACCCTGCACTCTCCTGCTCACCTTCTCCAGCAATCCTTCAGCTGGAGTTCAGTAGCCTCCCTTTCCCCAAACTTGACCTTCGAAATGGTCCATATGCTCTGGCAGGTCCTTTCTGGCCTCCCACCAATTCTGTTCAGTGCAGCAAATCTCAGGTCCCATGACTTCTACAGAGGCCCCTCAATCCGGAAGCACCCCTCCTCAACCACAAGGAGATTTAAAGATGGAGGCAGTGAGGGAAGGTGTAGGTGAAGTGACCCACAGAGGTCCTGGGCTCTTGAGACTCAACCAACTGCTGCCCTCCTGTGCCTGGCACAGAGCTCTATTGTCACTACCTCTCTCTGTGTCCACCATGTCTCTGTCTCCCTCTCTGTCTTTGCATCTCCCTCTATAGTCTCTTCACCTCCATGACTATAGCTCTTATCCCTGGCCTCACCTACTGGATGTGATCCTTCTACTTTGTCCCTCTCCACAGTGATGCAGCACCACCCACCCCAGGGCAGGAGAGGAGAGCCTGCCAACAAGGCCCCTAGGGACCAGAACCCCCTCACCACCACCACCAATCAATCAGCCTGCCGCCCTTGGCTAGCCCTCCATTAGCTGGAATCAGCCTGGACAAGAGGCAGACACACATCACAGGGCCCAGCCCACGGTGATAAGAGCAGATTGAATCACAGGAACAAGGCGGGGGACTGGGTACCAAAGGACAGAAGATAGCTGCCATTCGCCCCAGGAGCTGTGGAAGCAAGCATGCAATGTTGCAAGAGCCCAGCAGGTGATGGGAAATGATGGGCTGGTGGCTGAGAAGCTACTGTTCCAGCTCCAGGGCAGAAGCAAGCCTCTGGGGTAGGAAGAAGGCCTGACTCTGCTCCCCTGATGTGGTAGAGCTGGGGCCTTTAAGGTCACCAGTGATCCAAGGGTCACAGGGAAAGTGGGACCCCACCAGCCCCATGAGTAGTTTGGGACAGCACCAGAGTTCTGTCCTCAGGAAACTGCCATCTTGCCCAGGTCCCAATCTCAAAGCATCATGGCCAAGAAAGGAGATGGAGGAAGGAACACGGCCTGCTGCCTTCACCTTCTGTCTTTTTTCCCTTGCAGAACTAGGGGTTGAACCCAGGCCCTCATACATGCCAGGCAAGTGCTCTACCACTGAGCTATTTCCAAGCCTTCTTTTTATTTACTTTGAGACAAGGTCTGACTAAGTTGTCCAGGCTTTAAATGTTAGAGCCTCCTGCCTCATTCAGCCTCTTGAGTAGCTGAATTGCAGGTGTAAACCACCAGGCCCTGCTCCTCAGTCTTTAAATTTGCTCTGGACAAGAGGTGGGGGGGGGGTCATTATTTGTTCTACTCTGTGCTTGTTCTGTACGGAAAACACCAGGACAAGAACCCCCTACCAGGGACTGCCCTCCTGAGGGCCCTACCCCTACCCCCCAGAACCAGCCTTTCTGAAACCAAATACAAACAGTGAAAGTGTGGGGGCCAGACAGGCTATCACCACCTAGAGAGTGCTGACCATGATGTGGGAGACAGCTGCATGGAACAGGGAAGCAGCCGGGTGGACCAGAATGGGAGACGACCCCAGAGACACACAGCCTCTGCTGAGCCCCTAAGCCCATCTCCCCAAGAATGGGCAAGAGACACAGTCAGTGATGATAAATATAATTGCTATTATGATGGATGCTGGCTAAGAAGCAAGGACACCCTCCTCTCCCAGCCCTGCCGGTTCCCTCCACATGCTGAGGGCGAGAGGCCTGAGTGTCGGGGCTCCTGGGCGCTGAGCGACCAAGGGCAGCCAGTGCGACACCCAGGCTCGGCCCCTAGCCCAGGACGTCCAGGTATCCCGGTGGTGCCTGCGCCAGGGCCAGCAGCCGCGCGTGCACGTCTTTCATGTTGTGTCGCTGATGCGGCTCACGCTGCCAGCAGCCTCGCATGACCGCATAGACGTCCGGAGGGCAGGCACGGGGCCGCTCCAGCTCACGGCCCTGCGTGATGCATTCGATCGCCTGTGGCCATCGGAGAGAGAAGAGAGAGCAATGAAGGGTTCAGGGTGTGGAGGTCAGCCCTGGAGGTTACCGGAGCCCCCGCCAGTGGGTCCCGGCTGCCGGCACTCTAATGAGGCAGGCTCCTTCCTTATCGGACTCTGGAAAAAGTGGGACCTCTGAAAAGTGGGATAATGATAACCTGACTCTGGGGATGTGGGTAGGATGCCCTGCAGAAGGCTAGAATCAGATCCAAAAACGACTTGCTAAGTGTAGTGAAGAGGGTGAGGGCATGACACTGCCAAGACCATCAGCTTCATTGCTAGGGCAATGCCGAGCTTCAGAGGCAAAAGAAAATGGAGCGGAATTGTAGTCACAACCCTTGAAAAGAGCGGCTGGCTTCAGTTTAAAGTAGAGGGGTGACCCTTGCCTCTCCCTTTTGTGGGTACATCTCTGTAGGGCCCTAGCTAAACAGAAACTGTAGTAATAATGATTGAAGTTGGACTCTAGAAGGGCTGCTAGTACAGCTAAGGGATCTAACAAAGAGAAATGGTGACCGAACATGGTTGTAGAAGGCGCCTGAAGCCTCTTCCCCTTCTTCCCCCGTCCCCATTAGAGGACTTGGATTATGGGCAGCGCTAATTCCATTCCTTCTCTCAGTGCTTGAGAAAATTAAAATCTATAACCCTCTCCCCCACCCCACCAGCCTCAGGGGAGCAGACTGCATTAGGAGGAGAAATGGAAACTGACAGCTGCGAGCCAAGGAGGAGGCTGGGGGAGCTGCTCTGGAAGACGGAACACCTGGGGCCTGCTCTAACTGTGACCAGGCAGAAGGGGAGGGGGAGGGTAGGACTGTCCTTCTGACTCTAACCTCCAGCCTTCCTGCTGTCCTGTGGGGTCCGCTTTGCCACCCTTTCCCTGTTCATGCCTCCTATAAAGTGCACAAAGGGATGGCCCGGACTTCATCTACAACATGCTCTAACCTCCAGCCTTCCTGCTGTCCTGTGGGGTCCTCTTTGCCACCCTTTCCCTGTTAATGCCTCCTATAAAGTGCACAAAGGGATGGCCCGGACTTCATCTACAACATGCTCTGAGGGCCCCCGGAGCCAGCTGCGCCTGGGTTTAGGACAGTGAGCAAGAGGAGGAAAGGAAGAGGACCGAGGAAGAAGTACAGGGCCACGGGATGCTGGGCAGGGCTGACCTCAGTGTTGGAGAGCTGGTACCAGGGCTGCTTTCCATAGGTGAAGATCTCCCAGAGTACTACCCCGAAGCTCCACACATCGCTCTCAGTGCTAAACTTGCGGTAGAGGATGCTCTCTGGGGGCATCCAGCGGATGGGCAGCATGGTCCGACCTCCCACCTGCCAGCGGTGCACCACTCCTGAGGGTCAGTCACCTCCAGAGGGTGCCAGTGCAGCCATCCCCACCACACCATTAAACACAAGGGCCAGGGCTAAGGGAACAGCAGAGGAAGCAGATCCCCACTAGAGGCTGAGGTGCAGGAAGGGACCAGGGACCAGAGAGAGACCAGAGCCAGAGTCTCAGACCCCACACTACCAGAAGAAGAGGAAGGCAAGCTGGCCAGTGCAGTCTTATGAACTCCAAGCTAGGGTGTTCACAGTTTGAAGACAGGGAGCTGGGGGGCGGGGGGGTTGGAGGCCCTTACCCGGTAATAGTCTGTGCTGTAGATGTCCCTGCTCATGCCGAAGTCCCCGATCTTGACCACTAGTCCCTGACCCACTAGACAGTTGCGTGTGGCCAGGTCCCGGTGCACAAAGTGCAGGCTAGCCAGGTATACCATGCCTGCAGCCACCTGGCTAGCAATAGCCAGCAGCTGCCCAAGGCCCAGAGGACCGGGAGCCACATCCTCCCCTCCAGCCAGCAACTTCGCATCAGGCCCATGTGACCTGAGAAAGAGACAGAGGGGAAGGGCTGGGAGGACAGAGCCCCAAGAGCTGTGGAGGGGAGTCTCAGAACTTGGTATGATGAGGGAAGAGACTAGGGGGAAGAAATGGGGGAAGGAAAGGAGGAGACAGCTGTCTGGGGAGCCGGGCCAGGGGATAGAACAGGGCTGCCTTCTTCCCTAGCTCTCCCCAGAGGACCAACTCTAAGCTGTCAGGGACTCTGCCCCAGCCTCCGGCCCTTGCCAAGCTGAGCCGTTTTTGCCCCCTAGCCCACTCTGCCCATGAAGGCAGCCTCTCCAGCTCCAGGTCTACAACCTGAGTGTTCCTTGAAACTCCTATCCCTCCCACCTTTGTCCTCAGTGCCCATTCCTTGGACTAATTCTCCCATGCAAAGGTTTCCAGGGCGCCCCCCACAGCCTCCAAGTCCAGTCATCTTGATAACTCAGTGCCACTCCCCAATGCTAGCAGTCACTCCTGCTGGTTGCTTTGCTAGCACTGCCCCTTCCAACTGGCCAGGTTTCTCCTCCTTCATTAATTCCCAATGTTTGGTGAACACCTATGAGGCCCAAACACAGGAGCCACAGTGGAGAGTAGGGTATGAACAAACATCACACTAGAAGTGGATGAACACAGAGTAGCTTCCTGAAAGAAAGGGCACCTAAACTGAGATGCAAGTCTGGAGGCAGAGAAGGAGTCAGGGGAAGGAGTCCAGACTGGGAGGGCAATGTAGCTGGGAGGGAGGCCCTATGTATCAGGCAGAGGAAACTGGAAGCACAAAGGTCCAAGGCTCCTGCCCAAAATTGCTCCAAGCAGCATGTGAAGCTGCACCTCACACAGCCTGGGTCCTACTTGGTTACGTCTCTCTGGCTCACTCTGCACCATGTTAGGGAACAAGGGACCTGCTCTGTGCCACCCAGTGTCCCTAGTCCTCCCAAGTCCCTCCTACTCAGGGTCTCTCCTAGCTGAGTTCTACAGCCTGACTGCACATGTGAATCTTCACTCCCTAGAGCTGCTGGGAGATCAGATCATGACCATCAGCTACACAATGCTTTCTCATCCAGAACCACAGCCAATCTTCTCCCTACGGATCAGAAAGGAAAACTACTCTCTGTAAGAAGGTTCATAGACATGGTGGATGATTCCAGACCCTGGTCCTCTTGCTGGTTAACCCCATCTGGTCCTTACAGGGGACCACCTGGAGGGAGAATGACCATCACAGCCTGGGTCTGAAGTCAGGGGCTCTGCAGACAGGGCCTCTGCTGGAGTGGCATCCTTTACTCCTTGTGTGTCCTTGGGTAGGTCTTGCCATCCCTAAGCCTTCTTATGAAGCTTACACATTTCTCAAAGTGATTATAATTATCAGCAAATAAACATCAGGGTTGTTCTATCCAAAGCCAAAGAAATGAGTCCTGTGTGACTTTCAAGTTGCTTATATACTTGAAGGCTATGAAAAATATTTATATTACTGTACAAGCACATAGAACCAAAGTTAAGGATGAGTTACAAAGTGTATCTCATAGTGCCTGGAACACAGAGGTGTCTGATGGCTGCTTGGGACTGTCATCCTCCACACTGCACCTCTTGCAGGCCTGCCTTTGTGTGCACACAAATGCATACACATACACTTGCAGAGATACAGTCCCAAAGCACCAGCTCAGAGCCTCTGCTGCAGAAACCTTCCCACTGACATGCCCACATTCACACACCTGTCTACTCCCCTAAAATGGGAACTGTACTTTTATGAACCTTCCTGGTGTCTCCCCTCAGTTTGACAGACTAGCAAGGATGCTCTTGCTGGGAAGGGACCAGGGGCTGAGTCAGAATTTGGGTTGTACCGAAGGAAGCGGTTGAGGTCCCCGTGGCGCATGTACTCAAAGACCATGAGCAGCGAGCGGCCCTCGGTGCAAACTCCAAAGAAGCGCACAATGTGCTGGTGCTGTAGCATGGTGAGCAGCTCAGCCTCACGCTGGAAGTCCTGCCTGGCGCTCTCTGATGCCTCCTTAAGTGCCTGGGGTCAGAGGTGGAGACAGAACTGAAGACACAACAATCCCACCTCAAGCTTTGTCCCATTCAAGTACCTCTATCCTGGTGTGATGCTGCTCTGAGGGACCCAGACCTACTGGGACCAGGGTCTCACCTTGACAGCCACCAGCATCTTGTCCTGTTCACTCAGCAGGTTGTGGCATTCGGCGAGGAAGACCTTCCCAAAGGCACCCTCGCCCAGCTCCCACTTGAGCACAATGTCCTGGCGCTTGATGTGATGGACACCTGGGAGGGGCTTACAAGGTCAGAAGGAGGCACTGGCCTGAGCTGGATGGGGCAGTGGTAAGGGCAAGGCTGTCACAGGGCTGTGTGCTGCAATAAGATGTCCAGCCAAGGGGCTAATGGGGTCTGGGACTCAGTTTTCAGCACTTCCCAAGCCCCAGGTCCTGGTGTTGAGCAGTATCTGCCCAGACAGGGCTCAATGTGGGAGCTATGCCTTGGGCAGGGTTGGAGCCAGGAACCAAGCTGGTCTTTGGGATAGTGTGGGGATAGGCCTTGGTCAACACAAATGATAGCCCCCAGGGCCTTTACACACACACACACACACACACACACACACACACACACACACACACACACTACAAGTGTAGTTACCTCCCATGGTATGGTGCGGCCACCTCCCAGCCCCACCACACACATACTGCATGCACACACTCTCATACTCCCCTGCTGAAGCACAGCTCCTCACAGGCATCACTGAAGTACTGTGGGTTCTCCATGATGTGGCCCTGGAGTCCGGATCCTTTGCCCTCAGTAGGAGAAAGAGAGCTGCTACCCAATGTCATGAAATGTAGGGACATGGCCAGCCCATCTTCTGGAGCCAGCACAGCAGGGCCTGGGAAAGAGACACACCCACACAGAATGTCATAGCCCGGGCACCTTGGTCCTTGCCCAGCCTTGCTTACAGAGTGCCAGGCTCCACCTACTAACTTGTAGGAGGGACATAGTAAGGGAGCAAGATAGACAGCAGGAAGGAAAGCACTAGGGCCTCTCTCCATCTGGCTCCTGGTCAGCCTCTGGCCTCACAGGCACTAAGGAACTCCCTGGACCCCCAAAGAGCCCAGACCTCCAAACCCCATGCAGCGTTTGACAATAATGCACACCTACTAATGGCTGCTGCCTCTGAAACAACCGCACCTCAGCTCAACACACATCTAGCCCAAACCCCACAGACAACCCTTCAACTGTGTCCCAAACAGGACAGAGATAGGAAGGGCCAGTAGAAAACAAGGCCAGTAGGATGAACAAACAGACAATCCTTTGCTGTCCCCACTCACGGTTGATCCCAAACTTGCTTCTCTGTCCGCATTTGTTGAGCACGAGGAGCAGGGCAGAAAGGAAAAGGGCAGCAGAGATGGCCAGGCCCACAGCCACAGAGACCTAGGAATAGAATATGGTCAGGCCTAAAGGCTTCTGCACCCTTTGAACTCCCCCAGCCCTGCTCCCTGCTGCCCTGGTGACTCCAGCCTAACCAAGCTCGGGACACACTAGACTAACTGCTCTGCTCTAGCCTGGCTACCCCATCCCATCCCCAACCAGCTTTCACATCAGACACTCACCCCAAAAGGTGTTTCATCCTTCTCCACCGGGTCTCTTGATGTGCTATTAGTGTCTGTGGGGACACAGAGCAGAAAGGATGGGCCTTGGCATGTACCACCATGTCTCCTCTAGCAGCTCCCCACCCTGGCCACAGTTCAGGGTCCCAGTTAGATGTCCCCTCTGCCTCAGCTCTAGAGACAGCACCACTGCCCTCCAGTTCAGACAACTCACCCACTGGTGAGAAGGAGACTGCAGCAGGAGGGAGGAGAGAAAGGAGTCAGAAATGGCAAGCAGTGAGCCCTTGGCCTCAGGGATGCTCCTTTATGGGCTTGAGGTAGGGTTGCTAGGTCTTAAGGGAGAGGGTACACACCACCCTCCCAGAGGAACTATGGCTGCTCTGGGGCACCACCTCTCTTCAGCCTTGCTAGACAGGACAGCTCAGGGCCTTAGCAGGCCTGGCTTGGAGAGGGACTAACAGGATAGCACAGAGCTGACTACCAGCTCTTCTGTCTGGAGCACTCTAGCTCCAGGGCCCAGGGACATTGCAGACAGAATTCAGACTTCCCTGGGCACCTGGATCTTCACCCAGGTGCCACCCAGGAATGGGGCTGAGTTCAGGGCAGCTCTCACACCAGGGATGGGATCCTCAGGGTTGAACTCAAAAGGGTTGTCCATGAAGGCAACCATGATGGAGTCGGAGGCCTGGCCATAGGGGTTGGCAGCCAGCAGCGTGTAGTTCCCATTGTTGACATGGGTGGGCTGGTTCAGGCGGAGGCAGCCATGCCGCATGGTCTCATTGGTCAGTGCTGACTCCAGGAAATGAGTGAAGATGAAGCTCGTCTCATTGAGCACAGAGCCATTGAAGAGCCAGCGCAGAGAGGGTGCTGGCTGCCCATCCACGGAGAAAGGTATGCACCAGTGATGTTGCTCCACTGCTCTGCTCAGGTGCACACTAGCTGGGACTGTGGGCAGAGAGCATGTGACAGGAAGTGGGCAGCTCTGGCCACATGCAAACAAACTTCAGAGGCATAAAGGACATAGATGACACCTAGCCTGGTACTGCAGGCTTGTCACCCAAGCTACTTAGAAAGTTGAAGGATCACAAGTTCAAGGCCTATCTGAGTAACTTAGTGAGAATGTCTCTAAATTAACAAATAGAAATAAGTAAGTAAAAGTTCTGGGATGCAGCTCAGTGATAGAGCACTTGCCTAGGACCCAGGAGGCCCTGGATGCCGTACCTAGCACTACGAAAGAAAAAAAACCTTTTAAAAGAGATGTCCTTCAAAGAGACCCAAGCCTAAAACAACAGAAGCCCCTCAAAGAGAAAAGCATATATGTGTATAAATACATCCAATTTTATGTGGGAAGTCTCATCAGCATTTATTTATACAGTAAAACTTTTCAGTAGAGACTGAATGAACTATAGTTTCTTCTGTTATCACAGATGGGTTTCACAAATACAGTATTGAGCAAAAGAAACTAGATAAAAAATAATGCATGTAGTAGGCCTGGAGAGATGGCTTAGTGGTTAAGAACACAGGCTGCTCTTGCAGAGGACCCCATTCATTTCTCAATACCCACATGGCAGCTAACAACTGTCCTTAACTCCATCTGACACCTCATCTGGCCTCCGTGGGCATTGCAAGGCATGGGTGCTCTTATATACATGCAGGCAAAACACTCATACACATAAAAATAAATGAACAAAAATACATGCAGTAAAATTTTCATTTATATAATGTGTAAAAACAAGCAAAACTATCAACATAGGAAAGCAGATGTGTGGAAAATTATTGTGTACCATGTATGTGCCTGGTGCTCATGGAGGCGAGAGAGGGTGTCAGATCCCCTAGAACTGGAGGTATAGATGGTTGTGTGTCACCGTATGGATGCTGGGAACTGAACCTGGGTCCTCTGCAAGAGCAGCAAGTACTCTAAACTACTGGCAAGTGCTCTTAACCACTGAACAATCTCTCTAGCCCCCATAGAAAATTATTTTTATTTTATTATTTTTATTTTATGTGTATGAGTATATTGCCTGCATGTGTGTAAGTGCACCTGTGTCATGAAATTCCTGAGAAGGTCAGAAGAGGACGTCAAATCCTCTGGAACTGGAGTTACAGATGGTTGTTAGTGCCATGTGGGTGCTGGGAATTGAACCCAGGTCCTCTGTAAAAGCAGTCAATATTCTTAATCACTGAGCTATCTCTCTACCCCAGAAAATTATTTAAAAGCAAGGAAATTGTTAATATAAAAAATCATGATGCATGGGAGGAAAGATGGGGTTGTGACTGAAAGAAGGGGGCCTTCTCAAGTTCTGACAAAGGTAATTCTTGTTTACAGTATTTATGTTAACCCTGTGTTGTGGTATAGGTCTGTAATCCCAGCATTCAAGAGGCCGATGCAGGATGATCATGAGTTCCAGGTCTGCCTGGGTTACATTGCAAGACCCTGTCCCTAAATAAAATAAATAAGTAAATAAATAATATGTAGACTCTATGTTCATTTCTGTATGTATTTCACAATAAAAAAGAAAAGATGCTGGAACATAGATTAAAGATAATTTGTTGACAGAACTATAGAAATTAGTCAACAAGCCAGTCATGCACACCTTTAATCCCAGCACTCAGGAGACAGAGGCAGGCATATCTCTGTGAGTTCAAGGCCAGCCTGGTCTACATAGTGAGTTCTAGGCCAACTAGGACTATAGGGAGACCCTGTCTCAAAAAGACCAATAAATAAATAAATAATAAATAAATAAATAAATAAATAAATGAAATTAAACAAGTCTCAAAAGGAAATCAAAAGAGGAATTCCCCTTTTTTTCAATTAGGATGTTTATCTATGACCATACCACCCTGAATATACCATGTTGTCTAAGAGTAAGACACAGGCCTGGGGTTGCAACCTTTCACTAGAAGTCCAGCCCCAACTTAATTCTACCCACAAAATTCAGTTTCACAAATGCCAACCCAAACTGGAAGTTGAGTATTGGGCTAGCAGAGACTTGGCATCAGCTATGCAGGGGTCATCCCAAACCTACACTAAAATCCTAAGTGAAAGGGGGGGGAGAGAGGAGAGAGAGAGAGAGAGAGAGAGAGAGAGAGAGAGAGAGAGAGAGAGAGAGGAAAGAGGAAGGAAGGAAGGAAGGAAGGAAGGAAGGAAGGAAGGAAGGAAGGAAGGAAGGAAGGAAGGAGGGAGGGAGGGAGGGACGGAGGGAGGGACGGAGGGAGGGAGGACAAAAGCCTTAAGGAGGAACAGGGAGCAGTCCTTGAGAGCAATGAGGACAGCCTGCAGCTGGTGCTATGAGCTTCAGGTAGCAAGCTTGGGCAGGGGGCCAGAAAGAAATCCATCTCTAACCCTCTGGCCTTGAGGAGCCTCCTGGACTTCCCCTGAAGGATCAGGTTTTCATGGGAATCTGAAAACAGCTGGGAGGGAGCAGCTGTGGAGACACCCAGTCAACCTTTCCTCTAACCCCCCACTCTACATCTTCTGTTCAGAGAAGAGGAGATGAGTAGGGGTGGGTGCAGGGGCTGTCACAGGGGCTTACAGGAGACGTTGACTTGGACAGAAACCTCAGCTCGGCCCACGTCATTCTCTGCCCAGCACGTCACATTCTTCCTGTTGAGATCACTGGTGACATTGATCAGGGTCAGCTCCAGGGATGGCAGATCCCCAGATTTCTGGATCAGGGAAGAGGGAGAAATCAGGAAGAGCTTCAGCAGGCTTAAGCAGGAGGCAGAACGCTGGAACTGATGTATTTGGGGACTCCCATGGCCCCAGAGGAAGAGGGCTGGGGAAGGGAAGAAAAGGGAAGGGTAGCAGGATTTGGGCAAAGAATGGCCTCCTTTGCAGTTTGTGGAATAGCTACTGGATCAGAGAAATCAAAACGCACAACAAACAGCCTCAAAATAAGTAGAAAGTACTCCAGGGCAGGGGCTGCCAGCAAGAGGCCAGTCAGCAGCCATGGAGTTCTAACCACCACATTCATGTGCACCTCATCTGAGAGCCACACAGAACCTCTCAGAAAATTCTAGCAGACTCAGTCAAATGAAGGTCAGAAACAAAGGGCCAGTGTTATCAGGTGGCAATTAGAAGCAGAAACAACAGCGTGGTGTCCCACAGCAGATGAAGAGAATGACAGTGAGTGATGTCAGACAGGTGAGGTGAAGCGATTCTGAATCACCTTCAAAAGATTAAACCGGGCTCAGATTAAATTCCTAAGAAAGCATAGCTGTGCCATGCTGTACAACCTTGCAACAATTCTTAATCCTGATGAACTCCACTTTTTTTTATAAATTGAAGAAACAGGCAAAAGGGTCTTTTTGTTTTTTTTTTTTTTTTTTTTTTTTTGGTCTTTTTGAGACAAGATCTCCCTGCTGTAAACCCAGGTGGTCTAGAACTCACTATGTAGACCAGGCTGGCCTTGAACTCACAGAGATCTACCTGCCTCTGCCTCCTGAGTGCTGGGCTTAAAGGCATGTACCACCACATCGTGGCCTGACTTTTTTTTAAGAGGGTCTCACCATGTAGACCAGGCCGGCCTCAAACTCACAGAGACCACCTACCTCTGCCATCAGAATGCTGGGATTATAATCTGACATTTTGAAAACTATTTTCAAAAAATGATGAAAATAAATGAGGCAGTGGATAAGTCTCATCTATCTAGGGCTTTTCATAAAGGTGGGAACCCTTAAGCATCCCCTGGCCTCCACTGGAACATGTAGGTCCAAAGACCAGAAGAGCTCCCAACCCTTTTGAGCAAACCTTAGACTCCCTCACCAGCCCCTGTCTTCCAATCCCCCTGGAGTCTGGGGCCCTGACTACTCCTCCCTTTAAATTGCTTGTTCATTACTTACTTTCCTGAAAGGGACCTCTTTTTCCTCCACATAGACCAGCTTAGGGTATGACTTTTCCTTGGAAGTTTTCAGGAAACAGGTGTTAGTAAACATGTAAAGTTCCTCAAGATATAGCAGAGCTGGGATTTCCCAAAGAGGATGGCTGATTGAAGATATCTCCATGTGTGGGTATTCCCCTGGTCTCTGCCTTGTCTCCTCTCCATTACTCACTTGCCACAGGCTTACATGCAGTAGGAGGAGCCACTTAGCAATGTTCTGCCCTGTCACCAGGGCCTCCTTTTCCTCCATGCTCTAGGGGCCTCCAGGAATCGGAATTGTCTCTCCTTCCAAACTAAGGGTTCCCAAACTGAACGTCCTCATCCCATTCACTCCCTAATTACTGGATGGATACAACCCATTGTTAGAGCCTGGTGACCTTGTGAACAAGACTTCCCAAATCAGCTGAAGCTACTGGCCAGTCTGAGGACAGAGGCAAAGAAGGCCTGGGAAGATGCTCAGAGACGTGTCTGGATAAGAAAGACAGAGATGAGAGAATGCCCAGAGTCAGAAAGGATGTCAGCAGGTCACATAATCACCAAAAGAGCAGACAGATTAAGGGATTTTTCTGAAAGTTACTCTAAGTAATTAGTAGAGGCTGGAGAGATGGCTCAGTGGGTAAAACACTTGCCATGCAAGCATGAAGGCCAGAGTTTGGATCCCTAAAACCCACATAAAGCTGGGCTTGATATCTGTATAATCCCAATGCTCTTACAGTGAGATGGGAGTTGAGACAGGAGAATCCTTCGAAGCTTGTGGGCTAGCAGCTAACAGGAAAAACCCAGTCTCAAAGGCGGACAATAAAGACTGACACCTGAGGTTGTCCTTTGACTTCTACCTGCATGCCATGGCACATCTGTGTGTATGCACACATATACAGACATACATACACACAATGCAGATACACGCAAACACACATATTTTTAAAATAAGCAATGAGAGAGCTAAAAGCAGCTTCCCTTTCCTGATGTGTTTATACAATGCTGCTTCCTGGGTCTCCAGAGGACTCCAGGAGCCCTAATAACCGGTCCTGGATATTGGACACAGATCCTGCTCTATCCTCAGACCTCAGTTTCCTAAATTAGAAAGGGGGTATATGATCCATCTCAGGTCCCACACGTGAGCTGTAGCCCCCTCTCTTACAGCCAGCATTGTATTCCTGGGGGGTCCAGAAAGCCCAGGGTCCATGTTGGACTAGCATCTGTCCTGAGGATCTGCCTATGCCCTGGGCTGCCACTACTGGCCTGAGCCCCAAGGTCTAAACCATCTCTGTCCTTCTGTTCTCCCTGTGTTCCTTGTCCCTGTTGTTATCGCCCTGTCCTTAGCTTTGTCTCCTGTAAGGGGCTATAGCGTTTCTTACCGTCACTGTGGCTGTCCCCTCCAGCTCTGTGAGAGTCCAGCCAGCCTGCTGCAGGCTCTGCCCCTCCACCTGGCACTGCAGCAATACATTGTCCCCCACTTCCACAGAGTCATTGGGCATCTGGACCGTCAGCGTGGGTACACCTGTCACCCAGAGCATGGAGAGCATTAGACCTTGGGTATGGCCCTGTGAGTCCCACCCTGCTCATTGCCAAGGCAATGCCCCCAGCCTCTAGGGTCCATACCTTGCCAATGCTGCCCCAGACCCATCCAGGGCATGTTTACTGCCCTTCCTAGGCCAGTCATGGGATTTTCCACCCTGCAGCAGCACCTACCACAGCTGGTGTTTTGCCTGAGTGGGAGGAGCTGATCCCCAGGCTTGGAGCTCTGTAGCTTCTGTGCATGCACAGCACATAGCCCCTCCTGTTCCCAGTGCTGCAACCAGTACAGGGCACAGGAACAATGCAGTGGGTTCCCCGACAGGACCCTGGCAGGTAGAGGGCACCAAGAGTCAGAGGAAGAGGCAGTATAGGCTGGGGAGCAGAGCTGGCTGGCAGCAAGGGGATCCAGGCAGAAGGTGCTGGGTATGGGCCAGGTCCATTACTGACATAGTAACAAGGCTTTAGTTACAGAGCTAGAGAGATGGCTCAGCAATTAAGAACACTGGTTGCTCCTGCAGAGGACCCGGGTTTGATTCTCAACACCTGCATGGCAGGTAACAATCACAGTAATTTCAGGACCTTGGCAATCTGACACCCTCTTCTGACAATCTGTAGGCATTTCACATCATGAGTGCACTTACACACATGCAGGCAATGCACTCATATACATAAAATAAAATAATAAATTTTTAAAAATTGGTCTTTTTGAGACAGGGTCTCCCTGTAGCCCCAGCTGTCCTGGAACTCATTATGTAGACCAGGCTGGCCTTGAACTCACAGAGATCCACCTGCCTCTGCCTCCCAAGTGCTAGGATTAAAGGTGTGCGCCACCACGCCTGGCAAATAAAATATTTTTAAAAGACTTTAGTTACTAAAAGAAATAAGGATGGACTGCTAAAGGGGCCAGCTAAGGGCTTCATGAAGTGTCTTTACCCCATCTCCAGGATGGCAAGCCAGGCAAAAACCTTCAGCATGGTGATAAGGAGGGGAGAGAAGGGTGTCTTGCCATGGCCAACAGGCTTTAGGTCCACATCATACACATGTCTTGGACTGCTGAGATCCACCCCTTCTGTGTGCCCCTCCGGTCCAGTGCACATGCACTGGAAATGGAGGTGGTATGCCTAGTGCACACACAGTGGACCTCTGGTCTGTTCAGCATAGCCTGAGCCTCTGGGCACACACAGTTACTCACCTATACTCTCTCCCCATTCCAGTCCAGGCCTTTCACAGGATGGTTACACAGTCAGCATTGATGAAGGGGAGGGGATGAAAGGCATGCACATAGTCCCCAGTGCCAACTCACAGACACAAACACGGTCTCCAGAGACACCCCACCACCACCCCTACCCTGCTGCACACAGACACAATGACATAAAATCCTGGAGACACAAACATACACAGTCACACATCACATACACTAGCCCCTTGCCCTACCCCTGCCCACACACTCACAGCTCCTGTAGGGAGAGGCCCTGCACTGTTTTCCAGGAGAGAGATTCCAGAGCATTGGAGGACAGGTTCCTGTGGGAGGACAGACCTCACTTGAGCCAGTGACCTCACTCTAACCCAGTCTGAAAGAGGAGGAGGAGAAGACTTCTGCCCCCCTCCTCAGCCCAGACAACTACAACAGGCCCTGAGAAGCAATGTGCTGTGCTATTGGGTATGTGGGAGCAGGGCGGGCAGGTAAACATTTCCAAGTACATGTTTGTCCCTGGGAAAACAAGGGTTAATCCCACTTAACCCTCTCTCTAACCCCAGGGAAGGGAATCAAGGGAACAGCTGGTCACCCTCCCCCCAACACCTTCAGCCCCAGCTGACAAAGTGCTGAGGCCACAGCTGGGGGAAAGGAGCTCCATCTGTGCTCCCCACCAAAGAGGAGAGGAAGACCTAGGCTCTCACACTCCCTTGCCCTTGCCCAACCACAAGGCAAGGATATCAAAGTACTTCTTCAGGTCCCTTCCTCTTCCTTCCTGTTCCTCTACAGAGACTTAAGAAAATTTCAAGCAGGAAGAGACCTAGGGATAGGGCTCAGGATAGAGACAGAGCCCAGCCAGGCTCCTGACCCCCCAGGAAACTGCTTTAGGAGCCCAGTACTTTGTGCCTTCACTAGGCACTGCCAGGACTCCCATCCTCTGAGGGGTGGGCCCTAACCACTCTCCTTGCCTAGCAGCCATCCTTGATGTGTAGAGACTGGGTTGGAGAGGAACCATCATACAGGCCCAGAAACAGTATCACCCAGGAGACAGATGAGAGCCAGGTGTGACTTTTGTCCTGACACTTACAACTGTGTGATTTCAGCCCAGAAATTTGATATTCAGAATTTTTGTCTATAAAATAGGGACTATACTGTCTTAGTCACTAGGTTTACTGTGAAGAATCACTAGCATGAGAATCATGAACTGCCACTGAGTATACGTTTTTCAAATCTTAAATTTTGTTTTTTAGGCACGGTCTCCTGTAGCCCAGGCCAGCCTGGAACTTGCTAAATAGCTAAGGATGACCTTGAACTTCTGATCCTCCTGTCTCTACCTCCCCAGTGCTGGGATTACAGGCGTGCGCCCCCACACTTGATTTATGTGGTTCTGGGGGTCAAAACCAGGGCTTCATGCATAGTAGACAAGCATGCTATCCCCAGCCACAGCCACAACTCTGAGTACATATATTTTTAAGTCAGTACATAGTAGGTAGCACGATATCACTGGACCCAACAGAGAATTTAGAGGGCCCAGCCTAACTCCATGAATAACAGACACCCCCCCCAATCCAAGGAGGGGCTGCCAGGAACTCTGAGAGTCTCTGTCACCCCATCTATGCCCCTCTCTGCTCTTTACAAGACAAACAGCTGTGACTCTCAGAAACGAGGAGGGTGAGGAGTGGTAGATAGGACACACCATCTCCCAGGCTGGCCCTGGGCCCCACAGGACAAGAGATGAAATTCTGGCCAGAACCCAGGAGTCCTACTCCTGGCCCTCACTCCCTTTGCACCCCAGGCAGAGAGGCTGGAATGCCCTAGGGAGGAGAGACCAAGGCGGACTTTCCTCACAGAAGTTCCTTGTGGAGTGCAAAGCCCACTAGCAGCCCAAATCCAGGAGTCCTCCCCAGCCCCTTCCCACCTTCCACCCAGCCAGGCCACTTACAGATGACTGAGTCGAGGGGTGAAATGGAAGGCATCTGGAGCCACAAAGCTGAGACCACTCTTCACAATGGTGCTGGGGAAAGGGAGGGAAGAACCTGAGTCCTGTGCTCTGCCCACCCAAGTCAGATGCCCCTCTGCATCCCTGCATCCCTTTCCATCCATTAGTTTCCATAGCCTGGACCCTTCAAATCCCTGACCTTCCCCAGGCCCTTGGGTGCCCCAGACCCCAGGATGCTTGCCCATCCACATGGCCCTGTGCCCAGTCCCACCCTGCCCACTCTCAGTCCTCACAGGCTTCTCAACTCCCCCAGGCCCTGCAGGTCCCCAAACTCCAGGCGCTGCAGATGCGGCTGATTCTCCACGTAGCTGTGGGGAGAAGGGTTGGTCATCAGGGGTCAAGATCTCAGTGGAGTTCCCCCATCCTCACCACCTCCCTCACAGTTGCACATGCATGAGTACATGTACCATTCACACAGACCTGCCACACACACCCATACACTCACATGCCCCTATATGCTGACAAGTCGCAAGTCACACATGTGTATACATGAATGCATGCATCTGCACTCTTACACACATGAAAACACACACACACACCTCCTGTACCATATATACACTCAAGTATGCTCATGCACACAGATCTAACCATCTGCACAGAAATGTTATGGCTCATGCACACATGTGCATGTGTACAGGACCACACAGGTCTGTTCACATCCTCACACATAGGCAAAACTCACATAGACCTCTCCCATGCACACACACACACACAGGTGAAAAGATGTGACAACACATTTGTCAATGGGGCTTCACTTTCACAGCAGGCCTTTCCAGCATATACTCAGCACTAGAGGGTTGTGCTGAGACTCACTTTCACAAAGGGCACCGCTCCTGGTCCCACTGTCTTGTCCAGTACAGAGGATACCCCTTTGGCCATGCTAATATGTGTTCCCAAACACATCTGCTCAGAGGCAGTTATCTGGAGTCACTCACTCACAAAAACACTCCATCCTCTCTGCCCACTCAAAACCTTTGGCTCCTCCCTATAGTCAAGCAGCAATCCCTACTCCCACCTCCCCTACTCCCGCCTCCCCATCACTTTTGCAGAGCATGCAAGAAACAGAATTGTTGGGACCCTTTGTCACTCCCTAACCCATGAAGGACTAAGGGAGAGAGGGGCACAGAACCGACAGAGTCAGAGTGTATGCTTGAAGAAAACACCGATAGCAAGAGACAGAGAGAGAGAGACATAAAAGAGAGCTAGAGAGCAAGGGAGAGTAACATAGGGAGATAAAAAAAAGACAGACAGGAGAGCAAGCAGCACTTGAGGGTAGAGTGGCTGTAGCAGCCAGTCTAGCTTCTGGATCTGGCATGTGGGAGTTCCCAAAAACTTACTCCCCTACAGTGGTATGTCCCTGTGATCCCCTCTGCTCCCCCTACAGCATGAGTGCCAGGGGCCCCTGACTCACTGACAGTTCTCAGAACTTTCTCCCTCTGCTCTGGATTTCCCCTTGGTAAGCACAGCGGCAAGGAAACCAGGCTAGCCCAAGGGCCTCCCCACTGCCTCCCTGATCCCAGCCTTGGTCCCAGCAGTTCCCTGAGGCCTAAAGAGTTGCAGCTAGCCAGTTTGAGAGAGGATAGATCCCTGTTCTGCCCCCAAGGGTTTCAAGCTATAGGAACCTAGGGAGATGGTAAGAACATGTGGCCAGCTGAGTGTGTATAAGCTGTCAGCATACTTGAAGCTGCCTCATTCGTTCCAATTCATAATCAATCTGTCTATTCGAGTCCATTAGCTCCTTGTTAGCTGTGTGTGAGGGAGGAGGGAAGGGTGGGAGGATCCAGCTGCTGCCCCACCCAGGGGGACATCTCAGCTCACTACCCTGCCTATTCCCTCCTCTACAGCCCTGGATTGTCCACTGCCCCTGTCCCTGGGCTGGACTCTCTTGGGGTTTGGGAAGACCCTGGGAAATGAGAACACCGACTGAGCGCAGTCAGGAACCTGGACCTGGTTTGAATAGACAGGCCTGGAAGCAACAATCTGAACCTCAGACCCCCTCTCATCATGCAGGAGCCTAGGCCCAGACCAAGACAAGGCCATCTCCTCTAGGGCCATTAGAGAGAGATTGAGTACCTTGGTTAATTACCACAAGATGCCTGGGTAACTCAGTGCCAATCATTGCAGGCTCCTGGCTCCACCAACATACAGAATACTCAAGTATTTTCCAGCCATAACCATGTGATGTTGAGTATCTTTAGGTCAATTATACTCCCATAGGTTTCACCGCTGGGTACAAAGTACTTGAGTATTTTGTAACCAATTACTGCAAAGTGTCAGAGTACTGCAGAGCTCTAGACCTGGAGTGGGTGGGGAGTGTCTCTCAGCAATAGCCCTGACTCCCTGATCCAAGTAGGGAGACCGGTGGAAAGAGATGGAGGAGAAGGGATGGATGGTGAAGAAAGGGGCCTTCATTTTCCACATCCAAATCAAGGAGGAGGGGTGGGGGCTGTTGGGTGTTTGTGAAAAGGGAAGGAGCCCTCAGACACGAGCTGGCTCCTCAGCATCTCCCACCAAGTTCAGCTCAGTTCCAAACCCAGAGAAGAGCTGGGTTCCCTGGGCATGACAAGAAAGGCGGTGGGGTCTGGCTTCCCCCTAGGAAAGAGAAAACACAACAAGAGTCCCACACTGCCGGGTTCGCAGCAAACCAGTCCCCCATGGGGCAGAATTTGGGCTCCTGGATGAGCCTCAGAAAGCTGGCTTCTAGATCGCTGAAGTCTGAGATTATTTCGCCGAGATTCTGTCTTCCTCTGTCCCAAGCCAGCACCCAGCTGCCCTGAGCCCTAGGCAGCATCCAGTGACCATGGGACGTGCCAGGGTGGAGGCCGGCAGCCGAGGAAGCCGCGGCACCACCGAAGGCTGCCCTGTGCCAGCCTTGCCACAGCTGCCAAGCCAGACAGGAAAGCCAGAGGCAAGTACGCGCCCTCGGGGCAGGGCTATGCCCTCCTGACCCCGCGCCCCTACCCCACAACACACTCACAGCTCGGTCAGGTTCTCGATGCCCGGTAAGCGGCGGAGGCTATCCAGGGCCCCAGCCTCGGTGCAACGCAGCCCGGAGGGGCTTATGGGGCAGCAGGTCTCGCGGCAGGGTGCAGCACAGGCAGAGGCCAGCATCAGCCAAGGCAGCAGGCCGGCAGGCCCCGCGGCCCGGCGATGCCAGCCCTGCTGCTGGTGCCGCTGGCCTCGCAGCATCGCAGCGGCGCCCGCGTCTCTCCGGCAGCGCGGCCGTCTGTGCGCTCCCGGCTGCGGCCGCCTGGCCTGGCGCTACACGTGCGCTGTGCGGTACTAAGGACCAGCGGCAGGGAGAGAGCGGCTCCGGCGGCCCCGCCCCGCCGCGCCCCGCCCCGCCTTCCGACGCCCCCAGGCTGCCCCCTCCCCTTTCGAGGTCCTGGTGCCAGCCTGCTCCTGATATCTCCCAATTTCCAAGAGATGTGGAGGGGCTGTCACAAAAGTCTGGAACTGGGGCAACTGGAAGCTGATATGTTGTTTCTTCCAGAGTAAAACAGCTGCATTTTCAGATTTGGGAGGAAGGGGAGGGGGCCTGCCAGGTTGTCCTAGCCAGCCTCACGATGCACTTGCCTAAATGTGTGCGTGTCACTTGAGATAAGTTAGCGGAACAATCTCTGGACCCTGGTAAGGAAAATGAGAGGGCCCCGAAGGGGAGAGAACCCCAAAAGGGCCAAACACAGAATCTGGGGAGGAAAACCCAAGGGACAGAAAGCGCTCTAAAAACAGCTGGAGGGATTTGAAAGTGGAGACCCTTCTGTCTGGGAAAGGCCGCAGGGTGGTGCTAGAAGCCCGCGCCCGGCTGCCGGAGCGCCCAGGTTGGGTCTTTAAAGGCGGGGGTACGGTTCGCAGGCCCACTACCAGGTGCTTCTGGTCTTAGGGTCGGTTCCAAACCCTGGCCAGTCAGCTAGGGCCCCACAGCCCGTAGGGCAAGGCCTAGTAGGCCTGGCATCGATCGCCGTCCTGACAAGAGCATCGATTTCTGAGCGGAGAAATTAATAGATCTCTTAGCTCTTCGGACGTGGGAGCTACCCGCGTGGGAACTGTCGGCCCTTGGGCTTGAAGGCTGGCACCTGGAAAGTCCTGGGATCCCAGCGCCTAGGCCAAAGGGCAGGTCTCACCCCGGGCCTTCCTGGATGCAAGAGTCTGTGAGTCTCAAGCTTAAAAGGGAAGACAGAGCGGCACAGCATGAGGGACTAGTGGGAAGTAAGGAAACCTTGGGGACGAGCGGCTTTCTACGCCAGGCCCCAGGGATGGATGGTCCCCAAATTGCCCCAAACAAGTGTACACACGTAGATCCACCAAGCAGAGGGAATTCTGGAAGGCGACCAAACAGAGGCGGAGCCTCACAGAAGGACGGTCCTCCTCATAGGGATCTAGGCCAGAAGCAAGGGACTTGTGGGACCGGACGGAGCCACGAGTTAAAGGGCCATGGGCAAGGTGGCCTCAGAAGGCCGAGAGGGGCTGCGAGAAGCGAAGGGCTTGAATCTACAGGTTCCGCAAGCGGGATCGGACCGGCAAGGCTGCCGGAAGTTACCCTGCAGGCACCTGTTGGCAAAATCTAGAACCAGGGCTCCTCCGGGGGTGCCCAGTTGCTCTCTCCAGGTCTGCAGCGGCTGCAGGCGGGGCCAGGGATGGGAGAGACCCCGCTGACAAGTGAAGATTAGGGAGTTCAGTTCTTGACCTCTCACCCTTCTAAGTATTTTGGCCTTATTTCCCCCAACAGATCTTTCCCCCATCAGTTGACAGGCTAAATATTTTGACTTGATGGGAGGGGAGGAGAAAACTGAGAAGCCCGCTCAGACCAATCCTTGGAAGGGTTGGGAGAAATGGAAGCTGGGCGTGGTCCCTGTGTTCCCGCCCCGGGAGATGCAGCCGGGGGAGACCGGGAGCCAGCGAGCCCCTAAGATCCGCGCACTCTCCCGTGCACCTCCAGAACCCGGCTGCCACTCCAGACCGAGGCTTTTGTTCCGCCTTCCCTCCAGACTGTCCGGCCTCTCGAGACCTCTCTGAGGCTCTCCTGTTCCTGTCTGAATCTCTGTCCCAGTCTCTCTGTCTCTGGTTCTCACTGAGGCTGTCTCCATCTGCCTGGTGCAGGCTTTGTGTCCTCTGATGCTGGACTGTTTTCCTGTCTCCTGCTGTCTCCGTGTGAGATTTCTAATCTTTCTGCCCCTGCCCGCCCCCTCCACTCTGAAACCTGGGTCTACATCCTAAGGGCCTATCAAAACCTTCTCCCTGGGGGACAGCTGGAGGACAGCCAGGGCTGGGACCATGGCAGTGCCTGTTCTGTGGCCCTGGGGAGCACACCTGCTTATGAGCCTCCTGTCTTTGGGATCTGGCCTGGACACACTAGAGGGTGAGTTCTCAACATTGCCTCCAACCCCTACCTCCCTCCCAGAATACCTCTGTTTACTCTTTACTGCAATATGAAGACTGGGGTTCACTCTCAGAAGGACTTTTCACCCAGAAGAATGGTTGATCATATGAAGGTGTTTTTCTCTCAGCTCCCTGAGAAATAAGGACTTGGAATTGGGTATGAATAGATGTTCTCTGATCCATTCCTGTTTGTGGAATCATGATCCCAGTAAAGTCTGAGTTTGAACCAAAATGAGACTGTGAGGGTGTTAGAGGTCATTTTTAGGACTATGGGTCAGGCAGCTGAGAACTAGGCACCATTGAGCACCTATTGTGCAAACAGGAAATAGAGGCTCAGAGACTGAAAAGGCAGAGCTAGAGCAGGTCTTGAACTATGGCACTTCAAGATCCATGTCCCCCACCCTGAGGGCACACCCACTATGGGCAGAATGGCTGTCTGGGAAAGGACAGCCTCTCCTCTGTACCTCAGCATTATTCCTCAGACTGACACTCCCTATGAGGAATGGGACCACGCAAACCAAATGGCCCTCACAGGGGTGCCAGAGGCTAGTGGGGAAATGATGTAGAAGAAAGATTAAGTGTACCCTTTGTCTAATCTACCTTTGCCCTCCACAGAGAGAGCTCAGAAACCCAGCACTTTGGGACTCTCTGAATGGTCTCAGGATGCTCTTCTAACTGGGGGTCTCCAGAGTCAGGATAGAGGCTCCCCTTCCTGTACAGAAAATGCAAATGGGCTAGTGTAGGGGGTTCTCTGAAGGGGACCCAGTCACAGAGGCTTTGCCATGCACAGTGGTCTGCCTAAGCCCCCTAACTGCCCCTGACCACAGCTGTGCCAGGATACTATATAGCAGATGCCAGGCAGGAGCACAGTTGTCAAGACAGAGAATCCCCTGGGGGGAGGGTAGGGGTAGTGTTTGGTCAAGGAGCCCAGCTGTTGGTTCCCAGTGCAACTCTGCATGGAGCTTGCCCTGAGGGAAGGCAGGGGTTAATCTACAGAGGTCTTAGATTTGTTTTTCCAGTGACTCACATCAGGGGAGCCCTGGAGAGGCTAAGGCATGATGGTAAGTGGGTGCCTGAGGGAACCCCCCACCTGCCTCAAGGAGCCTGATTGGCTTTCATGAAGGGAATAGAAGTGGTTTTTTCTCCTCTTTTTTGTGTATATACCTGCCATGGCGTGTGTGGAGAGGGAGGGAGGGAGGGAGGGAGAGAGAGGGGGGGATTTTAGACAATCAAGCACAGGCAAAAAGGGGAAAGCATAAAGTAAGGGGGGTCAGGCTTTTCTGCCCCCCATGCCTGGCCTGTGAGGCAGAATATGGGGCATGGTACTGGCATGTATGCCAGATTGGGGATGGGGAGTAGGCCTGAATGTTAAACTAAATCATTCAGACTTGTGTTTTCTTTGAGGGGGGACCCTGCAAGGTCTCCTTAGAAGCATGGAAGGCCAAGCATCCAGCCCCCATAGGGAAATGGGCCTGAAGGCCTTGAGAAAAAGGCAAGTGGGTTGTTCCCAAAGGAAGGCGTAGCCTTGGGATCCAGAAGTCCGTGGCTCATAGTCCCAGGGGTTCTAGCTCTGAACTAGGTACCACGGAGTATGCAGAGCTGACTTAGAGCAACCCAAGTCCTGAAGAGAGTGATGGAGATGTAAGCACCAATGGTGGACCACACTGCAAGTATTCCTGTGACTAGCTGCTGGATTAAGTACAGTTGCGCCTGAAGGGGAAGTGATGAACACAGAGCCACAGGGCTATAGAGGGGACACTTGGCCTGAGGATTGTAGGTTATGGGCCAAAGAACCCTTTCTAGGTTTGAGGATGGAGGGATCAGTGGGGACCAGCTTATCTACACCCCAGAATGTTAGGCTGTAGAAGTGAAACGTGGACCTTAGGCATTGAGGAAGCACAGAATGTCCCTTCAAGAGCAAAAAGATGTAGGCACCAGACAGTTGGCTTCCTTAGGACAAGGACAGAAGTAGGGCACATGAAGCTCAGTGCTCAGTACTCACTGCTTCCCAGTCACAGTATTCATTTGTTCACTCATTAAATATTTGTTGCACACCAATTTTGAGCCAGGCACTATATGTGCACTAGGGCACAACAATCAGTTATACAAAGATCACTGCCTTCATGAGGCTTAAAATAAATAAGCAAAGTATATATTAATTAGTGTTGAGAGTTATAGGGGAGAAATCTGTGTCACACAGCACTCAGGAGATGAGGCAGGTGGATTGAGAGTTCAAGACTGCCTGAGTGGGGCTTAGAGAGATGGTTCAGCAATTAGGCGCACTGGCTGTTCTTGCAGAGGACTGGGGCTTAGTTCCCAGCACCCATATGGCAGCTAACACTAGTTCTTAACTCCAGTTCTAGAGAATCCCACGCCCCCTTCTGGCCTCTCAGGGCATTGTACACACAGGTGCACTTACATGCATGCAGGCACAACACTTAATACACACAAAATAAAAATAATTTTTAAAAGACTGCTTTGTGCTGGGTGAGGTGGCACATGCCTTCAGTGCCAGCACTCAGGAGGCAGAGGCAGGAAGATCTCTGTGAGTTCAAGACCTTTCTGGTCTACATAGTGAATTCCAGGCCAGCTGGGGCTACAGGGAGACCCTGTCTCTAAAACACACACACACACACACACACACACACACACACACACACACACACACACACACAAAGACTGCCTCAGCTACATAGTAAGACTCTGTCTCAAAATACCAAGGGTTGGAGATGCAGCTCAGTGGTAAGGTGCTTGCCTAACTTGTATAAAGATCTGTATTCTCTCACCAGCACTGCCCCCCTAACCAAAGAATGAATAAGAGAAGTGGAGAGATAATTTTTAAACAGAATGGTGGGAGAAGTCCTCAGTGGAGTGACCTAAGGAGATGAGGGAGCCATGTAAGAGAGAGTGCTCTATTTCTTTTCTTTTTCTTTTCTTTTTTTTTTTTTTTTTTTTTTTTTTTTTGTCTTTTTTGAGACAGGGTCTCCCTGTAGCCCCAGCTGTCTTGGAACTCACCATGTAGACCAGGCTGGCCTTGAACTCACAGAGATCCACCTGCCTCTGCCTTCCAAGTGCTGGGGCTACAGGCATGCGCCACCACGCCCGGCCGACATTTCCTCTTTTTAAGTCTTCCTTTCTTTAGAAGTATTTCCTAAGATTGAGGTACAACATTTTGTAGCTTCAGTTTCTTACTGAGGGTATGATCTTAATACTTGCAGATTGATCAATTTGGCCCATTATTTAAGTGCATAATTTAAGGAGAAATTTGTGATTTTGCTTTGCTTGAATCAGTCCTACATTTTTTTTTTTTTGTTTTTGTTTTTTGTCTTTTTGAGACAGGGTCTCCCTGTAGCCCCAGCTGCCCTGGAACTCACTATGTAGACCAGGCTGGCCTTGAACTCACAGAGATCCGCCTGCCTCTGCCTCCTGAGTACTGGGATTAAAGGTGCACACCACCACGCCCAGCTGAGTATTCTATTTCTAGGAACAGAAGGTGCAAAACCTTAAGCTAGGAGTCTGACAGGCTTATTTGAGAAACAGCAAAGAGGCCACAGTGGCTGAAGAAGAGAGAAAAAGGATGAAATCTGAGCAGTTACAGGCCAAAATTGTATAGGGGCTCCCTGGCTGCACTAAGGGCCTCCTTATACAAAGAGGGGTAGAGCCACTGGAAAGTTTTGTTGTTGGGGAGCTTGTTTTGTTTTTTTTTCAGACAAGAGTCTCCCTATAGTCCCAGCTGGCCTGGAACTTACTATGTAGATCAGGCTGGCCTTCCTCTCACAGATCTGCCTGCCTCTGCCTCCCGAGTGCTGGAATTAAAGGCATGTGCCACCATGCCCAGTGCCACTGGGAGTTTATGCAGAGGAAGGGCACAGTCACCTGTGTTTTGATGTCACTCAGCCTTCAAGGTGCAGAACAAAGCATAGAAGGGCAGGCGTGTAAATTGGGGGGAATCCAGAGAGAGCTATGAGGGACTGCCACAATGTCAGATTCCCACTTATAAGTCAACAAACAGAGCCTCCAGTATTTTTTAAAATTTATTTATATTTTTATTTTATGTGAGTCAGTGTATTGTCTGCATGTATATAAGTGCACCCTTATATAATGCCCACAGAGGTCAGAAGTGGGTGTTGGATCCCCTGGAACTGGAGTTGCAGACAGTTAGCTGCCATGTGGGTGCTGGGAATTGTATCCAGGTCCTCTGCAAGAGCAGTCAGTGCTCTTTACTACTCAGCCATCTCTCCAGCCCTGCCTCCAGGATTTTAACGGCAGAGAGAGAGGGTTTGGAGTCCACCACATGGATGTGGCTTGGGTGAGGAACACAAGGGGTCATTCTGCCCACAGTGGCTCATCTTTGAGATCAAAAGAGGAGACAGCCTCTCATCAGAGTGCAGCCTGGTATTTTTCACTCCCTGTCCTCCTACCAGTGTAATGTCCCTCCCCCAGAGCTTCCAGGGCGGGTTAGGACTCTTGGCCTGCACTGTACTCATTTGTCCAGGGCTACCTGTGTTTACAGTGTGCCCCAGCCTGGACATCCGCTCTGAGGTGGCAGAGCTGCGGCGGCTGGAGAACTGCAGTGTGGTAGAGGGCCACCTGCAGATCCTGCTCATGTTTGCTGCCACTGGGGAAGACTTCCACGGCCTCAGCTTCCCACGCCTTACCCAGGTCACTGATTACCTGTTGTTGTTCCGTGTCTATGGCCTGGAGAGCCTTCGAGACCTTTTTCCCAACCTTGCTGTGATCCGAGGTGCCCGCCTCTTCCTGGGCTATGCACTTGTCATCTTTGAGATGCCCCACCTGAGAGACTTGGGGCTGCCAGCACTTGGGGCTGTGCTGCACGGCGCTGTGCGTGTGGAGAAGAACCAGGAACTCTGCCACCTCTCTACCATTGACTGGGGCCTGTTGCAGCCTGCACCTGGTGCCAACCACATTGTGGGCAACAAGCTGGATGAGGAGTGTGCCGATGTGTGCCCTGGTATGCTGGGCGCTGCTGGTGAACCCTGTGCCAGAACCACCTTCAGCGGGCATACCGACTACAGGTGCTGGACCTCCAGCCACTGTCAGAAAGGTGGGCACTGGCACAGAACACAACTGAAGTCACAGAGAGGCAGGGTCAGGATGGGGTGCATCAGCATTTTGTCATCTCACCTGCTGCTGTTTGGGTTTTGTTGTTGTTTTGTTTTGCTTTGTTTTTTGAGACAGGGTTTCCCCGTAGCCCAACTGGCCTGAAACTTGCTGTGTACACCAGGCTGGCATAGATCTCACAGAGATCCCCTTGCCTCTACCTCCCAAGTGCTGGAACTAAAGGTGTGCACCACCACATCTGGCCCTGCTGTTTGTTTTTGAGACGGCATCTCTTGTAACCTAGGCTGGCCTTAAACTCAATATGTGGTTGAAGCTGGCCTTGAACTCCTGATCCTTCTGCCTCTACCTCCTAAGTGCTGGGATTACAGTTATATGCCTGGCTTGCTGCCACTGTTTTAAAATCTTGACCCTTGCTATGAGACAGGTACCCTCATTGTCCCATTTTACAGAAAAGGAAACTGAAACTTAGAGAAGTTAAATAACTAATGTGGCATCAGGCAGTGATGGAGTAGGTAAGGGACAGGTGCAAGTTGGGGTCAAGGAAGAGGATAGGCACAAATGGAGAGAAGGCAGCCCAAGAAACTATCCTCTGAGGCAGTAGCCAAGAATCCAGCCAGGTGGCCTGAATTCACCTCTGCTCCCTGGCTGGGCTCACTTGGCATCTCTGTGCCTCTGTCTCCTATATGATGGGGACTCAGTGAGCGCCTACAGAATGTAAGAATGGAGCCTGGGTCTCGGTAGCAGTTCTGTGTTCCCAGTAAAAGTGGTTTCAGTCCAGGTGATGAGGGCATACTGGGGGTGTGGGATGGGGAAGAAGAGTTCTGAGGGCAAAAAGGATGAAAGGGGTGGAAAGAATTAGACAGGCAAGGGCAAGCGTGTGAACTGAGAAACAAGATTGTAGAAACAAGGCAGTCAGTGGAGAAAAGAGAGGAGCAAGACTTTTCAGATCTAGGAGTTCCAGTTTGGAGTCTTCCCCTTACAAGTTGAAGTCAGTTCCCCTCACCTTTGGCCTCCTCACTGGGTAGGAGAGTAACCAGATCCCTGCTGTATCAGCAGTAAGCTGCCTCCCAGCTGCCTCCCTGTTGGCTGTAAACAACAGTCTCTGCAGTCTTCTCAATCTGTGTACAGTGTCAACAGGCCCTGGCTGGGAACCTCCTTGGCCTGGCCTAGCTGCTCAGGAGTGGCCAGCTGGTTCCCCTTGGCAGCCTAGACAGGACAGTAGGCTGATGGACAAGGTCACTGCTCCATCCTGAGTTCTTACTCCCTCAAGGACAGAAAGAGGCCACCATGCTTATTTTGAGGCACGCCTGTCTGAAGGAAACAAAGTCTGTAACTAGACTAGTACCATCTGAATCAGAGAGATCTGGTGCTAATTAAGAGTGTTACCACAAGATGGGGTGGTCCAGGGTTGGAAAAAGGACATCACTGAGAGACAGGTAAAGTCTAATAGTCCTCTGCCCACAGTGTGTCCCTGTCCCCATGGGCTGGCCTGCACTGCAAGTGGTGAGTGCTGCCATACCGAATGTCTGGGGGGCTGCAGCCGGCCAGGAGACCCTCGTGCCTGTGTAGCCTGCCGCCACCTCTACTTCCAAGGAGCCTGCCACCAGACCTGCCCTCTGGGCACCTACCAGCATGAGTCATGGCGCTGCGTCACAGCTGATCACTGTGCACATCTGCGCTCTGTGCCTGGCCTTGCCTCTGCCTTTGGCATCTATCAGGGCAACTGCCTGGCACAGTGCCCTCCAGGCTTCACCCGTAATGGCAGCAGGTGAGGAGGTGGCCCCCTTGGGGTAGTGGGGAGCCCTGACCAGTCTCACAGGTCCAAGGCTTACACTACCTGCTTTCCCTGCCTAGCATGTTCTGCCACAAGTGTGAGGGGCTGTGCCCCAAAGAGTGCAAGGTGGGCACCAAGACCATCGACTCTGTCCAAGCAGCACAGGACCTGGTGGGCTGCACCCACGTAGAGGGGAGCCTCATCCTCAACCTTCGTCAGGGTTGTCAGTACCCCTCTGCACACACCCCTCCTCCTGACCACACCCTCCCTCCCAGTCATATTCCTCGCTTGACTTCCCCTGACCCTGGGTCCCAGTTCCGAGGCCTGCCTCCCCTGCCCCTCCAGCTTTCTGCCCTGTGGACCCATCACCTTCCCAGCTCCTGCTCTAGCCCTTTCTTCCTCATCCCCAGACAACCTGGAGCCAGAGCTGCAGCGCAGCCTGGGGCTGGTAGAGACCATCACTGGCTTCCTCAAAATCAAGCACTCCTTTGCCCTCGTGTCCCTGAGCTTTTTCAAGAACCTCAAACTAATCCGGGGGGATGCCATGGTGGATGGGTAAGGGGTCAGAATCAGGCTGACCAGCCCCCCTCCCCCAAAATTTCCAGAATACTAGCGAAGAAAATGGGCTCTGGGATTAGTTTGCTGCTTACTAGCTGTGTGACTCCTGGTGGGTTTCCCATCTGTACCATGGAGCTTGTATAACATTCTTACATCTCAGGATCGTGACTGTTACATTGTTGTATGTAAAGCACTAAGAAAAATGACTAGAACACAGCACATGCAATAATCGTTTTATGCAGATCAGTAAGGCTCAACCAGGATCCTATCATCTGACCAGGTCAAATGCAGAGTGAACCTGACTGCATTTGAAACCACTTCTGTCAACAAAGGCCTACTCACAAAGTGGCCAGTGGTTTTCAAAATGAAAAGAAATTTTACATTGTCTTCAGTGGCTTCTTCTGTCTCCTGGTATATTGTCATGTCCACACCCTAGCTGGCTAGGCCTAGACCCCCAGGCTGAGTAGCTCTTCGGTGTCCTCACAGCCATTGCTCACTTAAAATGAAATGGAGGGGGAGGCTGGGAACCTGCTAATACCACTTCTCTGATAAGGACAGCAGAGAGAGGGTAGATAACTTACAGGGTGACACACTCATGATCAGTGGTACAGAGGTCCCCTCATGGGTGTGAGTGGGGCCCAAAATGACCCTGTGTCCAGCACAGACTCTCCAGGAGAAGCCTCCGAGCCAGCCTCCACCTTGCAGAGTAAGTCCCTTGGCTTCCTCCAGGAACTACACGCTGTACGTGCTGGACAACCAGAATCTACAACAGCTGGGGTCCTGGGTGGCTGTAGGGCTCACGATTCCCGTGGGCAAGATCTACTTTGCCTTCAATCCGCGCCTGTGCTTGGAGCACATCTACCAACTGGAGGAGGTGACTGGCACCAGAGGCCGGCAAAGCAAGGCTGAGATCAACCCTCGCACCAACGGAGACCGAGCTGCATGTAAGGCCCCGCCCAGTCCAGAGCCGCAGGGCAAGGCGTGCGCAAAGCACTTAAACACACGGAGGTGGGCTGTGGCTGGGGTTGGGGGCGCCCAAGAGGGTAAGCGGCCACCGGGTCAGCGTGGGCATGAGCCGGTAATACGAGTGTTGGGAGCAGGTGCATACCTTTCGCCCTGCCCAGGCCAGACTCGCACCTTGCGCTTTGTGTTCAACCTGACCGAGGCAGATCGCATCCTGCTGCGATGGGAGCGCTATGAGCCGCTGGAGGCCCGGGACCTGCTCAGCTTCATCGTCTATTATAAGGAGTCGTGAGTTGGGGGTGGGGCCGGGATAGGGACAGAGGGAGGAGCCCAAGTTCTTTTCTAGTATTTTTTTGAGACAAGGTCTCACTATCTAAACTAACCTGGAACTCTGGAAGCTGCTCTCGCCTCAGCCTAAGCCTCAGCTTCAGCCTCAGCTTGAGTTCCAGGCCATGCAGAGCCTAGTGTTTTCCAAGAACCAGGGAGGTGAGATCAGAGTCCGGATGGGCTACGGAGAGCCAGGAAGTTAGGACCCCCCAAATCACATCACCTTCTTTAGTCCTCCATGCCTCGGTTTCCCCTCACCAAGTGAAATGAAGATAGTCAGGAGAGCCCAGGAGTCAGTTCTGCTGAGAAAGCTTGGCTAATTAAGCCTCCATTCACTAGGTTGATCACATGGTCTTGCCCCAGCAGGGGCTTGGGGAGTGCCCACTAATTTGGCCTCTTATGAGCTGCATTTCATTATAGCCTGAGGAAGGGCGGGAGCAGGATCTCCCCGCGCCACACACACATCTCTCTATCGCTATCTCTCCAGGGTCTCGTGTATCCCAGGCTGGCCTCAAACTCCTTATGTAGCTGAGGATGAGTTTGAATTTATCCTCTGGCCTCCACACCCCCAAGCACTGGGATTACAGAAGTGTTTATGGTGCTGTGGATCGAACCCAGGGTTTCACGCATGCTACTCAGTCTACCAACTGAGCTACAGTCCAGACAGAAGTGGTTTTTTTTTCCTTTGGAGGGAGTGGGCTGACCTTAACAAGAGGGATGCCACAAGAAGGACTTCTCCTAGAACATGTCTAGCATTAGCTGGGATTGGTGGCGCACGCCTTTAATCCCAGCACTCAGGAGGCAGAGGCAGATGGATCTCTGAGTTGGAGGGCAGCCTGGTTTACATAGTGAGTTCCAGGCCATCTGGGGCTACAGGAAGACACTGTCTAAAAAAAATAAAAGCAAATCTAACATTAAAAAAATGATCTTGGAACCAGCGGACGTAATGGCGCACGCCTTTAGTCCCAGCACTCGTGAGGCAGAGGCAGGCAGATCTCTGTGAATTCGAGGCTAGTGAGTTCAGGTCAGCTGAGACTACAGGGAGATGCTGTCTCAAAAAGACAAAAAAAAAAACAGATCTTGCAGGGCATGGCCCCAGCCATTGGGAGGCAGAGGCAGGTAGATTTCTGTGAGGTTAAGGTTAGCCTGGTCTACATAGTGTGTTCCAGACCATCTGGGCAACAGGAAGAGCTTGTCTCAAATAAAATAAAATAATAAAATAAAATAAAATCTCCCAGTCAAACCCTTTGGCCCAATCCTATAAACCCAGCATGAGGGAGGCTGAGACAAGAGAATCCCAAGTTCAAGGCTTGCATGGGATACAAAGCACATTTAAGGTCAGCTTGGTCAGCTTAGTGAGATCTTGTCTCAAAATAAAAAATAGAAGAAAGGTTAGTAGCTCAGGGGTGGAATGCTTGCCTAGCATGTGAGAGGCCCTAGGTTCAATCCCCAGTGCCAAAGTCAAGAGATCTCTTTAGAAGGGAGAAATGGATTTTCAATGACAGCTGGGGTGGTAGGGATAAGGAGAGCTCTCCATGGTAGACAGGAGCCAGATCACCTGGTTTGGAGGATTTCCTATAAACCAAAATGGAGAGATCTCAACAGTACCAGCTCAGAGCCTGGCTGGGAACAGGGAGGGAGCCCATGGTAGGAAGGTTCTCAAATGGCCCAGCCTCTCCAAGGTTTTAATGCAGAAAAATGCCCAGTGAAGGAAGGCAGAGAGTGTATTAAATACAGATTCCTGGGCTTTACCTCACAGATTCTTAGTGCTAGGTATGATTCTGCATTTCTAACATGGTCCTAGCCAACACTAAAACTGCTTATTCACAGACCATACTTCAAGGAGCATTGACATAAGCAGCAATGGGAATGCCTCCCCATCCATGTGCATACAGTTCATAACCTGCACAGCTCGACTCTGGGCAAAGAATCTTGGGATCCTTTAGGAAGCACCCTGCCCCCCCCCATCACTGCTTTACAGTGTGGTTGTTGTGTGCTCCCTCGGGGCAGACACTGGGGGTCCTCATCCGATTCTGGCTCTGACCCAGACCTGCTCAGTGTGCCATAGCCCACAAGGCACCTGCCCTCATGACACCCCCCACACCTTGTTGAGTTCCAACAAGGGCAGGCAGTTCTGGCTGGGCCTCAAGACCCTTCTCATCTCCTTTAACCTCCTTCACATTCTGTCCCTGGGGCTGGGGAGATGGCTCAGTGGGTAAAGTGAGGCTTGCTGCATAAGCATGAGGAACTTGAGTTCAGATCCCTAGCACCCATATCAAAGCCAGGCATGGCAATGTGCACCTGTAACCCCAGCACTGGGGACAGCCTCGCTGAAACAGCAAGCTCCAGGTTCAGTGAGAGACCCTATTTCAAAAAATGAGGGCTGGAGAGATGGCTCAGCAGTTAAGAGCACTGGCTGCTCTTGAAGAGGATCTGGATTTGGTTCCCAGCACCCACATGGTGGTTCACAACTACTTGTTACTCCAATTCCAAAGGATCCTCCACCAGCACTGCGCACACATGATACACCTAGATATATGCAGGCAAAACACTCATACATATAAAATAAAAATAAATTAAATAAAATATTAAAAAATAAGGTAGAGGGGCTGGAGAGATGGCTCAGCAACATGCTGCTCTTACAGAAGACCAGCCCACATGGTGGCTAACAACCATCTGTAACTCCAGTTCCAGGGGAACCCAACACCCTCTTCTGACTCCATGGGCAATGTATGACACAGGTACACTTACATGCAGGCACTACACTCATACACATAAAAGTAAATGAAATGTTTTTAAAAAAAATAAGGTAGAGAGCAATTGAGGAAGACAGCTTGATATCAACCACTAACCTCCACATGTACACATATACCATATGCACATGCACATACATACATATATCCAAAGTCCATGCATGGACCTTGGTTAAAACACTATGCTTATGAGTGTGGTGGCACAGGTCTATAATCCAGGCAAGCACTCGGGAGACTCAAGCAGAAGGACTGCAAGTTCAAAACAAGCCTGGGGTTGCTGGTGAGCTGGCTCAGTGGTTAAGAGCACTGGCTGCTCTTGCAAAGGACTGGGGTTCTGTTCCCAGCACCCATATGGCAGCTAACTAACAACTGTTTCCAGGGGATCTGACGTCTCTTCTGGTCTCTGTGGGCATTGCACAACATGATACACTTATTTACATGCAAGCAAAACATTCATACACATAAGATAAAAATAAACAAATAAATACAAACTTTAAAAAGACAATCCTGGGCTACACAGACTCTAAACCAAAACAAAACAAAAACAAAAACAGGATACTCCATCCTTGGGAAGAGACTAATTTCCTGATTCTGGCTCCAGGCAATTTCACTGGGGGCGAATGAGAATAACCTCACTGCTCAGGGCTCCTAGAGAAGGGACTTATTTGAACCCACTTTCTAGGTATTTTGTTTGGTTGGTTTGGGGGTTTTTGAGACAAGGTCTCCCTGTAGCTGCAGCTGACCTGGAACCTGCTATATAGACCAGACTGGCCTCAGTCTCACAGAGATCCACCTGCCTCTGCCTCCTGAGTACTGGGATTAAAGATGTATACCACCACACCTAATATATACTTGTTTTATGCATTTGTTTTATATGCTGGAGATATAGATATAGATAGATAGAGAGAGAGAGAGAGAGAGAGAGAGAGAGAGAGAGAGCGCAAACCTTTTTTTTTTCCTATTCTCATTGAGACTCAGGCTCAATGTTTCCTGCTAAGACTGAGAAGATATTTCATCACAAATTTGCAATGTGCAACAGAGATCATGAGGCCCACATGGCCCATGAGTTAGCTAGAATTACAGCTGTGCCTGTATGCACAGTGGAAAAACAGCTACAACAGTCCTAGGTAGTTCAGAGAGGAGGATGGTACTAGAGAGCTTGGAGCAGGGCTGGAGCCACCCCTCAGCTCTGGGGATGGGGTCTTCAGCCCGTTCCAGAATGCCACAGAACATGTGGGTCCAGATGCCTGTGGAACCCAGAACTGGAACCTGTTGGACGTAGAGCTACCTCTCAGCCGCACCCAGGAGCCAGGAGTGACCCTAGCCCCCCTTAAGCCATGGACACAGTATGCAGTGTTTGTGCGAGCCATCACTCTGACCATCGCTGAAGACAGCCCCCATCAAGGAGCCCAGAGTCCCATTGTCTACTTGAGAACCCTGCCTGCAGGTGGGCTGAGGGCTCCTGGGTGAGATGCCGGGATCCTAGTGAAGAGAATAGGGGCGCACAAGTGCCAGCAACAGCCTCTTATGGCCCTGGCCCCAAAGACTAGGAAGTCAGAGGCCTCAGTCCTACAGAGAATAGAGCCTGAGGGAGGCTGGGGTTGGGCCTGTGTGATGAATAGCTCAGTGAACTAACTCAAGGACCTCGACTTCTGCATAACAATATTGCCTCCTGGGCTGGGCTGTAGGGCGGTTGGTAGAGTACCTAACAGGCATGAAGCCTTGGGTTCCATCCACCCTATTTGTTGAGACAGAGGAACAGAATGCTGATCTCTAGGGAGGGCAGGCTGAAAGACCCTACGGAAAAGGAAGGTTGGACCCTGAGAGAAAGGGCTCATTATTTCACTGTATGTAGAAAGGGGCCCAGTCCCCTGAGTGGCACCCTCTTCACAACCGCAGCTCCCACTGTGCCCCAAGATGTCATCTCCACATCCAACTCCTCCTCGCACCTCCTGGTGCGCTGGAAACCACCGAACCAACGCAACGGAAACATCACTTACTATCTGGTGCTGTGGCAGCGGCTCGCAGAGGATAGTGACCTGTACCTCAACGATTACTGTCACCGCGGTGAGCAGAGAGGTGACGCGGGCGGGGGACACGCAGTGGGGGCGGGTTGACCACTGCTCTAACTGCTCTCTTCTGCACTGTGGCCACAGGTTTACGGCTGCCCACCAGCAGTCACGACGCCCGCTTCGACCGCGAAGACGGGGCGCTGGAAGCTGAGCCCGAGCCCGGCTGCTGCCCTTGCCAGCTCCCACCTCCGGGGCAGACCCTTCCTGTGCTGGAGGCGCAAGAGGTCACCTTCCAGAAAAAGTTTGAAAACTTCCTACACCACGCTATCACCATCCCCAAGTGCGACTGCGGGCTGGCGGGCAAGCCTGAGGGTGGGGCTGGGGAAGGGTGGGGCTGGGTGGGAAGGGTGTGGCTTGTGGGCGGGGCCTACGTTCATGTGGGCGAGGCGTTGCTGTGGATGGTTTGAAGGCAGGGCGCAGCCGCAGAGCGTCCAGGGGCTGATAGCGCCCCCTGGCCTCTCCAGATCCCCTTGGAAAGTGACATCCATCAAGAGCCCCCAAAGGTGAGCTGGAATGAGGGCGGGGGGCTAGGGGCCTGGGCTCTGGGGACAGGAACTGTGGCTCTGACCTATCCCATTTCCAGGGACTCTGGGCGGCACCGCCGGGCACCTGGGCCTCTCAGGTTAGGGAGCAACAGCTCGGATTTCGAGATCCAGGAGGACAAAGTTCCCCGGGAGCGAGCGGTGCTGAGTGGCTTGCGGCACTTCACAGAATACCGGATCGACATCCATGCCTGCAACCATGCGGCGCACACTGTGGGCTGCAGCGCGGCTACCTTCGTCTTTGCGCGTACCATGCCACACAGTAGGCTCGCCCCGCCCCCAATGACCCCAAGGAGTGTCTAGTCAGTGCTCTCTAACGAGGTTTGACATCCCACTAACCTCAGAGCCTTGCTCTGCTTTCCCTTCTTACTTCCGATGACCCCAGAACTTCTCCAAACCTCCCAATTTAGCTCAGATTACCTTGGGTTTGAACATAAACAAGAACTGCTTGTGGCCTGGTTGCCAGATGCCCTCTCCTGCAGGAGAAGCCGATGGTATCCCAGGAAATGTGGCCTGGAAGGCGGCTGGCAAGAGCAGTGTCTTCTTGCATTGGCTTGAGCCTCCTGACCCCAATGGGCTCATCCTCAAGTATGAAATCAAGTACCGCCGCCTGGGAGAGGTAGGTGCCTGGGCACCCGCTATCCCAGCCCTGGTCTCTGCCTTCATCCTCTTCTCAACCAGCTGTTTGTGCTGTCCTCAGGAGGCCACAGTGCTGTGTGTGTCCCGTCTTCGCTATGCCAAAGTTGGTGGGGTCCACTTGGCTCTCCTGCCCCCTGGAAACTACTCTGCTAGAGTTAGGGCCACCTCCCTGGCTGGCAATGGCTCCTGGACGGACAGTGTTGCTTTCTACATCGCTGGCCCAGGTAGACAGACTTGTATCCCAAACTGGCCACTTGGTCTCTGTCTGCCATCAGCCCATCTATCCCTGCTCCGTCACCATTCCTCAGTGTTCCAGAGAAGTAGATCCCACCCTGACTTAATACTTCCCAACCCCCCCTCCAGAAGAAGAGGATGCTGGGGGAGTGCGAGTCCTGCTCACTGTCACCCCAGTGGGGCTCATGCTGTTCATCATGCTTGCTGCTCTCGGTTTCTTCTACAGCAAGAAGAGGTGATGACAGACCCTACTTCATTCTCCCCCTTAGTCCTCTCATGGGGGCAGCACAGTCAAGGTGGTAGACTAGACAACAGAAGGAACTTCTTAGAGGCAGTAACTCTTCCCCTGGAGGTATGAAGGAGACATACCTCTCAGCTAAGGTGACAACTCACTCTTAACATGGAGATGCTCTGTATCCTCGAGCAGGCACATGGGATTGTTGGTCACCACAACCCTCAGCCCAAGCTGAGGGATAATGAGGCTGGTCCTGTTGTAACAAGGGGAGGTTGGAACCCTAGGATATGGCAGTACAAGTGACATCAGGTCCCCTGTGCTAAGTTCAAGAGGGGCCACTGAAATGGGGGTGGGGAGGGCCTCTCTGTACTCCTGGCTCTGCCTATTCCTAACCTATTGGAGCCCAGGATTAGGACCAAGGGGAGCTTGGAAAGTACTCAGGACTCTCCAGGGTTTACCCTGAACAGAGTCAGGATGACATCCTGGAATGTTGGATTTCCCCTGACCTATTGCTTCTTGTTCCAGAAATAGCACACTGTACACGTCTGTAAACCCAGAGTACTTCAGTGCTTCCCACAGTAAGTCTGGGGTGGGCACAGGCTATTTGGAAAAGGAGGTAAGAGCAGAAGAGCAGACTCCCAAAAGACCTCTTTTGAGAAGGTGGAACAGAGTTCTTCAGTAGAATCAAAGGGCTCAAGAGTCTGTATTTCAAAAGAGCATCTTAAATGATATTTGGTTAAGAATCACTGCTCTAACCCTGGGAGGTGGCACACACCTTTAATCTCAGTACTCAGGAAGTAAAGGCAGGTGGGTAAGGTGTGCTTGCTCTGCAAGCATGAGGAAATAAGTTTGAATTCCTAGCACCTTAAAAAATAAACATGGTTGTGTATGCCGATAATCCCAGCAGTGGGAGCAGAGACAAGCTAATTCCCAGAATTTTTTGGCCAGCTATTCAAAACATGAAATTTCGGATTCAGTGAGAGACCCTGTCTCAAGGCAATAACTAAGAGAGAGATAGAGGAAAACACCCAACATCCTACTCTGGCCTCCATATGTGTGTACGTACATAGGCACATACATCTGCACACTCATGTGTTTGCATCAACCACATGCATCACACACAAAAGAAACACTAGGGACGAGGCATAGTGGTGTAGGCCTTTAATCCCAGCACTTGGGAGGCAGAGGCAGGCAGATCTCTATAAGATTGAAGCCAGCCTGTTCTACATAGTTCCATGCCAGCTGGCTGTGAAACCCTGTCTCAAACAACACAAACAACAAAAAACCCCACACAAACACAAACAAATAAACAAAGAAGAAACACTGGGGGGCTGTGGAGATGATCAGCCATTAGATTGTTTGCCCCAGCTAAATGCCAAGTGGGTATGGGTAATTTCAGCTTTAAAAAGCAGAAACAGGAGATCCCCTGGGCAAGCTGGCTAGGAAGACCAGCCATATTGGTGGCAAGCTTTGGGTTTGGTTGAGAAAGCCTACCTCAATGAATAAGGTGGAAGAAGAACTGAGGATCATTCCCAGTATCAACCTCTGGCCTCCACATGCACATGCACCCACATACACATGCAACCATATACATGCAAGACATGCATGCATACATACATATGCCACACATACACACATGCATAGAACACACACACACACACACACACACACACACACATACACACAGGAAAAAAAAGAAATACTGCCCTAATTTGCAAACAGCAGCTCAGAGGCTGGAGAGATGGCTCAGCCATTAAGAACACTGGCTGCTCTTACAGAGGACCCATGTTCAAATTCCAGAACCACAGGTGGCTAGCAACCATCTGTAACTCCAGTTCCAAGGGCTCTAACAGCCTCTTCTGGTCTCCTCGGGCATTGCACAACATGGGTGCAGGCAATACACTCATACACATAAAATAAAAATAAGTTTTTTTAAAAAAGAAAATATAACAGCTTACTCCAAGAACCTATTTTCTCTACAGTTGCTTTTACTATTGTCTTTACATAGATTTTGTAATTACCTAAAGATTAAGGTTTGTATCATCTGGGGAAAAGCATTCATTAAAGCTGTATAAAAGCTTTTAACAAAGGAGAGGAGTCAAGAGGCAGGTGGAGACATGGCCTCCTGACACCCACTTCCTCTTAGTGTATGTTCCTGATGAGTGGGAGGTGCCTCGGGAACAAATATCCATAATCCGTGAACTGGGCCAAGGCTCTTTTGGAATGGTCTATGAGGGGCTGGTACAAGGACTGGAGGCTGGAGAGGAGTCAACGCCTGTGGCCCTGAAGACAGTGAATGAGCTGGCCAGTGCTCGGGAACGCATGGAGTTCCTCAAGGAAGCTTCAGTCATGAAGGCATTCAAGTGTCACCATGTGGTAAGGAGGGGTGTGATGTTGCTTAGGTCATAACTAGGGGAAACGGTAAAAAATGACAGGGCATCATCAAGGTCAGGGTTGGGACTGTGGTTACAATCCTAATTAGGGCAGAAGTTATGATAGAGTCATATCTACAGTTGAGAGCAATCATGCTTGGGGCTCTAAGACTGTCCAGATGATTATTAGAGTCATGATTGGAATCAAGGTTAGAGTTGGGACAAGTTCATGATTGTGATAACAATCAGATAGTTTGGGGGTTAGGAATTAAGGTCAAGGTTACTGTTAGCTCAGGGGTAGGGTTACAGTCATGGGAGGGTTGGGTCAGGATAGGCATCTGGGTAAGGCTGTAGTTGCATCAGATCAAGGTTTTGGACATGTAGGTCAAGGAGAGATGCATGGAACTGCAACCAAGCTCTCTGTCCATTCCAGGTTCGTCTCCTGGGTGTGGTGTCTCAGGGCCAGCCAGCTCTGGTCATCATGGAGTTAATGACGCGTGGGGACCTCAAGAGCCATCTCCGATCACTGAGGCCTGAGGCAGAGGTGGGAACAAGAAAAACCCTGGGCCATAATGCTAGGAAGTTGAGGAGACTTGGGCAGCGTGGGTGAGGAAAAATTATAGGGAGCTGGCAATAAGCCTCCAGCTTCTTTTTTCACTAGTCCTTCTCCTATTTCTAGAACAACCCTGGCCTCCCACGGCCAGCACTCAGTGATATGATACAAATGGCTGGTGAGATTGCCGATGGCATGGCCTACCTTGCTGCCAACAAGTTTGTGCACCGGGACCTGGCAGCCCGCAACTGCATGGTGTCCCAGGACTTCACTGTCAAAATTGGTGGTACAGTGGGTGCCAGGCAAATGAGGGAAACCTAAAGGTAGAGAGACTCCCATAAGCTAGCCATAGGAAACCAGGCCTAGCTCACAGCTCCATCCCTGACCAGTCCCCCGCCGGCATATCTCAGCCTTCTTGTCCAAGAGCAGGGATGACCACTGAGGTCCTTTGAGCCTACACATTCCAGGTTGCTTAGAGACTAGAGGTAGAAAGGATTGGACACTGTCTTCCCGGGAACCAGTGTGTAACTCTTGTATACTTCCACCCTTCCTTTCCAGACTTTGGGATGACTCGGGATGTGTATGAGACAGACTATTACCGCAAGGGTGGGAAAGGACTATTGCCTGTGCGCTGGATGGCTCCTGAGTCCCTCAAGGATGGAATCTTCACGACTCACTCAGATGTCTGGTAGGGCCTGGAAGAAGAAACAGGTTCTGGGAAAGTGGAGGTGGCACCTGTGGAAGGACTTGGAAAACTCTTTCCTTGGAGTGCTGATCAGCCTGAGGGGTGCTGGACTCAAGCTGTCCTGCATGTCCTCCAGGTCCTTCGGTGTGGTGCTCTGGGAGATTGTGACTTTGGCTGAACAACCATACCAGGGCCTGTCTAATGAGCAGGTGCTCAAATTTGTCATGGATGGTGGGGTACTGGAGGAACTAGAGGACTGTCCACTTCAGCTGTGAGTTATCCCTGCTACCTTTCCCTCTCTCATCCCAATTCTGTGCCCACTATTCATGATTCTGACCCACCTCCTTCAGTGATTCTCCATCACCAATCCTCAACTGTGAGTCCCCAGTTCTAAACTCACCTACATTCCCCACTCTGACCCCTGCTTTCTGCTGGTTGATACTCCTAGTATGGATGGCAGGGGTGTGTCTGGGCTCCAGATCATCTGACCCCATTTCACCCCCACCAGGAGGGAGCTGATGAGCCGCTGCTGGCAGCAGAGCCCACGCCTGCGCCCAACATTCATCCACATCCTGGACGGCATACAAGATGAGCTTCGGCCCTCTTTCCGTCGCTGTTCCTTCTACTATAGCCCAGCGTGCCAGCGGGGTCGGGCCTCACTGCTGCCCACTGAGGCAGAGCCTGACTCCCCACCAACCTCAAATGAATCTTCAGATCACAGTCCCCCAAATGGGGGCCCAAGACAATGAGGGTCGCCCTTTTCCCAGCTGACTGGCCTCTCACAGGCAAAGAAGGCAGGATCCAACCTTTGTGGCTATGAGATGTCCAGATGATCACCTCTCACCCCACCCCACCCCTAGGCTCATTCAGGCAGGTCAAGGGGTGGCCCAGCTTGGGGAAGAGAGCAAGATCTGAAAAGGAGGCACCCAAACAGACTCACGGAGGGAGCCCATGGGGAAGCATTGAGGCCACAACAGGAGGGGCCCTCACACCATGGGCAGATGGTATCTTGCCCACAGAGTGAGACTACTCAGACTGAGAAGGCTGTCCCCTACCCTGGAGGCAGGGCCCAGATACATTCCCCTCCAACACTGGGCCACACATGAACATTTAGAACCATCGACAGCTTGAAAGCAAATGAGTGGTCAGAACCAGGCCTGGAGACTTGGGGTGTGGAGACAGGTGTTCGTATCAACCCCTTCTTTCCTCTGTGATCCTTTGGCCCCTACACCAGGAGCAGAGCAGGAACCCCAGAGTCCTGGGTAAATGAGTTCCCACCCTGACCCTCACTTCTCTCCCCGTGGTCTCCCCAGAGACCCTAATCTTGGTGCTCCTCCCTCCTCTTTCCCAGGGGCATCCCTTAATGCACAGTCATCCTTTAGCCATTGTCCCTGGATTGTTAGCCTTAAATCTTGAGGCTTTAATGAGCCTGTCTTTCTGTCTCCCCTCCCCCACCCAGTCTCTCAGGAGAAGACTGGCGAAGACACAATAAATGCTGAGATCTGTTTGTACCCTGGTCCCAGGCAGCCCATTATCTCTCCATCTATATGGTGTTGACACTGAATGGACTTCCTCTCTCCCTCCGTGGGGACTTGAGGTGGTGACCCTAAGGCAGCAGTGCAGGATAAATATATGCTTCGAAACAAGACCTCCGTGAGGACCCAGCAGCCAAGGCTGCCATGGCAGTGACACAACAATCTTACCATTATTGCACACTCATGGCTGGAAGTGGCTGAGACCCACAGGGAACGTCTGTTTCTGGCTAGCAGAATCAACCAGTCCTCCACATCTTACCTTCATTTTGTCCCTTGCTATGTCTGACCAATGGGAAGGCATTTCCTTCTAAAAAATCACAGGACAGACTTTAGTGGACAGAACATGGAGTGGAGGAGGGAACCTGATGACAATATCTGAAATGTCTAGTGCCCCAGACAACACAGTGAACACATGCCAGAGGAGTGTCCGTGTCCAGCCAAGCTATGATTATTCTGAAAGGTCAGAACTTTATTCCTGTCCCACAAGCAGAGAAGCCTTTGAGGGGTATTGAAGTTGCACAGTTAGTCCCAGGCTTCTATGCCAAAGCCAGGGCCCTTAAAAGAGAAATGCAGAGTGACATCAAACCTTGAAATGGTGGCAGGGGAGGGACTAGTCACAGCTTAGGGATTTTTGGAGGGAGGGAATCTAGGGCCTCACATATGCACCCTACCACAGAGCTCCAGCACCTCAGAGCTTTTAAGCTCCCTGCACTCAGGTTCAGGCTGCCATGTTGACACACACACACACACACACACACACACAGAGTGAGCTCCCCTGCTCACTCTGGCAGTGGCCCAGGAAGTCACAGAAGCATTAGACAGGACCTAAGTGGAAGATGTGTGAACCTGGGTCAAGCCGTATCTGCTGCTACAAGAACCGTTTCCCTGACAGTCTGGGTGGGCTGCAGGCGCTGGTCTCCAGGCCTTGCCTTGCATTGGTGTCTGAAGCAACGCTGACCCCTAATGGTTGATATCAGAACTGCAGCTATGGAAGAAGAGAGCAAAGTTGTTCTCCCCCCATCTCTCTCTGCCTTCTTTGGCTAATCTCCTGCCTCTAGAAAGAACAAGGGAAGACACCATGCAAAAAACCCCAGGCCCTAGACAAACATAGTGGCTCAAATTTGCTGCCCTAGCGTTTGGGAGACTGAAGCAGGAGGATTGCCAAAAGTTCCAAGGCCAGTCTGGGCTACATAGTAAGTTCCAGGCCAGCCTAAGACTGCAGAGTAAGATCCTATCTCAAAAACAAATAGCCAACTAACGTGGACCAGAGGCCCCACACATACAGAGCACAAAGACACACCTTCACTCGCGATGGGTGGTGGCCAGTGATGACATCAGTCTCGCCCATCCAAGCCCCCAACTTCTTGTGCTGGATATTACTCACTCAGGAAGCCCTGGCCACCTAGACATCGGGGAGCTGCAGGAAGTTGAAAGCGGCCACAGATTTTCACTGCCTGGGCTCCACCTCTGAAGATTGAGAGATAGCAGCTGGCCCAGAATTTCTTCCTGGAGTTGAGTAAAAGGAAGCTACAAGTTCTGCTGTCATCCCTATCCCAATAGCAGTGGATTTAACAAGCGAGGAAGACAGATAAAGGCTGGCCTTCAGCAGGGATTTCCCAACTGCAGCTGCACAGAAAGCTTTTCAGAGGAAGATGTGTCTTTGAGACACCAGGAGACCCACAGTAGGTTGACTTGGAGGGAAGGGCGGGTACTACAACAGAGAGGGAAGGGTAAACAGAGACTACAGAGATGACCAAGAAGCAACTTCTTGGCCCTCTTCCCTCTTTTGAATTCAAACAACTCGAAGATAAATAACCAACCAATAGCCAGTGGAAGGGTGGCAGACACAGTACAAACAGAAGAATGATATGTTGGGCTGGAGAGGTGACTCAGCAGTTAATAGCACTTGTTGTTCTTGCAAAGGACCCAGGTTCAGTTCCCAGCACCTACACGGTGACTAACAATCATCTGTAGCTCAAGTCCCATGGGATCTGACACCTGCTTCTGGTCTCCACAGCACTGCAAACTCATAGTGCACTGAGTGCATAGCACATAGTGCATAATGCAGGCAAAACACTCAAACACATAATAAAATAAATCTTAAAAACAATGCTGCTATCAGCAGCAAACATGTCTAGAAAAATAAAAGAGGAGGAGCAAGTTTATCGAAACCCTCTATACTGTCTCTTGCCCTGGACATAGGCCCCCAATCTGGACAGAAGGGAGCTGATCATGTGTCTTGTAGGGATAGAGAGAACAGGCTAGAGTCCCCCAGGGACACCAAGGAGAAAACTCAGGGTCCTGAAGAAGCAGTAGACATACCTGAGCCTTGATGGAAGCAGCACCAAGGGGGGAATATGGGCGCACCCAGGGTACAGAGCACCTAGGGTCCCTAATGCAATCGGTGCAGGGCACCTCAGCACTCAGGGTAGCAAGCTTGAACACAGCTAGAACGCTCATCAGTGTGCATCTGGCCCTCAGCCCTGCCCACTTGGCAACACCAGCAAGACTTCCTAGAGCTGGTAGAAGGTTCACCCCCCTCCAAAGTCAGTCTGGGTGGACATTGACCACTGTCAAAGCAAGAGGGCTGGGACTAGACTGTGGAGGCTTTCATAGGGTCTGGGGCCTGGGTCTGAAATGAGATTATATATGACATGTGCTTCGTAAGCTCTGCACAGATTACTGTCATCATTCTCTAATTGTGACATCATTTGAAGATACTGCAAAAATGCAGACGGAGGTATAGAACATGGCCACGACAAGCTGCAAAGCAAAAGTGTTTCTGCATTATAGGTAAACTCAGAAAGCATCTCAAGTGCAGACACATGATGGGATTAACAATGATTTATGCCTTCTTTTTGCTTACCTGTATTTTTTCTTTATGTTTTTTATAAATAACATACATTATTTACAGAATGAAAAACAAAGACTCTGCTTTTAAATGAACAAGCTCCTGCCCAGAGACTCATAGGAGGTGGCTCTGGATGGGTAACAGTATATCAGTCAGGTGGGCTCTGCTCTCTTTCATACCATGCATCATGGGGTTGTCTCACATGCATTCTCCAAGGACCTTTCCCCTCCTTGGCATGGGTAAAAGCAGATTTTCCTGAATTTAGGAGTGGTACCATGACTTTATACCCCAAGATATCTTCCAGCTGGGGAAACAACAAGAAAAGCAAACACTTTCTAAAGATTCCTAGCAATGAGGAGATGATAGCCCTCTGCTTACTGCATCTCTGCGACTATGCATGGTGAGGGAATGTTCCCCTAGGGCTATGGGATCAGCTTCCATCCACAGTGGCTGCCAGAGCCCCAAATGTGGATGCCCACTTCTTTCCGTTTTGCACATGCCATGCCCGTGCCAAGTCCTATCTCCTTTTCCATCCCTTCTCTGGCCCTCGGCTCAACCGGTCCTCCCAGTACATTATACCCCTTGAAGCTCCTAGTCAGATTCTTCCCACTGTGATCTCACCTGCAACCACATCCTCAGCTGCTCCTCTCCATCTACCGGTAGTATCTTACACTGGCAAAGAACATTCTGTCTCCAGAGTTAAACTACTCTTTCTGGGAGACAGAAGAACTTACCTAAAATACTGGCCAGATAACAGAGACCCAGACCCTCCCCCAGTCCACCCTGCCTGAAGATCTTTGGTCCTTCAATCCCTACCCCCCATCCCGCCCCGCATACCCAGGCCCTGGTGGTGTGACCTCCCCCTTCCCTTTCAGGGTAATGAGTTGGCCCACATCAGATAACACCTTTCAACGCAGCCAAGAGCTTCCCTATATTCTTTGTACAGTGCTGCCCATCGCCAGGCTCGGGCTTACATCCTGTGAGGTAACCCATCTGACCCCAGGCCCTTTCCACTCCATCATTGGTTTTTGGTTGATCTCTGAGACAACTACAGTCACTTAGTCCATTCTGCTGTGCATTGCCATGGTATGAATGTGAGAAGTCCCCTTGGGAAAACAGAAGCCACCCAGGTATTTTCTGAGAGTGTATTAAATATAAGGGGTGACTTTGCTGCTGTGAGGGTTGAAAAGCAGAAAGCTAAGCAGCCCAGACACAGGTGCAGGAAGAAGCTTTCACCCAGGCTGGGATATGTGAGTGAGTGTGGGACTGTCAGGAAGGGGCCCTATAGAGATGGAATCCAGGTCTTGGAGGAACTGCCCACTGATGCTACAAGCAAGCCCTTCCCTGTCTCCCTATAGCTCCC